TGCCAGGCCCCTGGCGTGAATCCCAGAGCACTCCTTGATGAATCGGTCGTGGAGCGATTTGGCCTCGTTTGGGGAAGCTGTACTCTCTCTGACAAACTTTATAATTCTGGGCTAATCCAGAGAATGGTGGTGTACTGCTCCCCTTCATCTCGGGCAGCTCAACCAACTCGGTGGATAGCGCGACTTCATACAAACGTCCCAAGCTGAACAGCTGACGGCACTCTGCAGAGAAAAGGCTGCGAAGGAAAAGTCACGGCCCCAAAACGAAGATTACGTGAGACGCGAATCGGATATGCGTCTCTCCAATCTCAGCAGCAACATTTTCAACGCTTGGCTTCTTCATGCTTCTTCGCTGAGATCATTGAAGCTAGCTTCAATGGCAGTGCCGGGAAGGTCTCAGGAACACTATGCATCTTACGGTCATACAGACCAGGGTACATGTTTAGATCGCATCCCTTATGCCCAGGCAGCTGGCCACAAGCCGTGTTGACCGCGAGCTTTCCACAACCGAGGAGTCTGACGATTAATTTCGGAGGGGGGCGACCCGCTTAACAAACACAAGTTTGTACAACATACCTTGCCGGCAGTGACACAATAGTGCAAGCCTCCCCCCTTCGCCTACACTGACGGCCAGTGTCGGCGACTGTTCTCGATCCACTGAGTTTGTTCGCACTGCGAGCTCGAATTCCAGAAGCATCACACCGACAAAGGTCTCCCTTCAAAAGCCTCGTGCGCAACTATGACCCTAATCTGATCGAAGCCCTGCTTTAGCCGATGATGGTGCTTTTGGATGAGTTTGGGTCCGCCAGTCCATGTCGATAAACAAGACTTGCCGATGAGTTTCAATGCTGAGACCTGTTCCCGTCACATGTTCGGCACGCAAGGACAAACCCAAAAAAGGGTTGTGGAAACACATGAGCATACCACCAGCTCATGTCGGCACATTTGTTTCAAACTCTCAGCTTTGCTGAGCTTTGCAGCAGGTTATGACTTCTGACGGTCATGTGTGATAATCACAGGACCTCAAGAGGTCTCATCCTGCGACGGCTACGGAGATCGTACATCGGAGCTAGAAACGGCTAGAAAGACATGCCTGGCCTCTTAAGGTCTGGCTAAGATAAAAGCTCAGAAGCTGCAGCAGGCGTCTTCGCCTGGCAGTTCGCACATCTGATGCTCTTTCATCAGCTCGGCAACTCCACCTAGGCACTTGGGCATCATCTTTAGAAGCCTGTAAGCACGAACGGGCACGGACAAACGCACGCAAAGGAAACCAAAAAAGTCAATGCCATGCCCGCAGAGACACACACACACACACAGCCACAAACACACCGGCAGAGAGATAGAGCGAGAGAGCTGGATGCACGTAGGTGTATAACAAACTATGTACTAATGTATGCATGTCTGTATGTATGTATGTACGTATTTATGTATAAACATGTGTATACATATATATACAAATACATATATGTATGTACACACCAAATATAGTATATTATATATATATATATACATACATACATTTTTTGTCACTCGTGCTCGACAAGTCAGACGAGCATACATACATATATATGGTCACGCGCTCCGCAGGCCCCCCCCCCCTCCCCCGGCAAAGGTCAATGGTCCGGATATAGGGTGGGGCCCCCCCTCCCCTGTGGTGCGGTGTGTGGGGTTCCTCTTCCCCCTGTGGGTGGTTGTGGGGTTTTGGGGTTTAGGGTTTAGCTTAAGCTTTTGAGTTTTGAGTTTACGGCTACAAAGTATAAAGCTTCGAGTCGACAAGGGCTTAGGGAGGATTTGCGGTGTATGCTCTGCTTTAGGCTTAGAGCCTGCAGTTAGGTGGGGTTTAGGGTTGGGTGTAACGTTTTGAATACAAGTTAAGGTTGCTCAAAACCGGAGCACGCGCTGCGTCATAGGGTTTACGGCTTGCTTGCGAAGGGCTTGCGCGTGAGCCCTGGCCGCCAGCACCACCCCACCATCCAGTGGCAGCTCCAACGGCCCCAACCCCTTTCCGCACACGCCAGGGGGGGGGGGGGGCTGGGAACGCCAGACGCCTGACCATATATATATATATATATATATATATATATATATATATATATGTGTGTGTGTGTGTGTGTGTGTGTTATGTTATTATGTGCACATACATAGATATATATGTATATGTAGAAACACATGCGTATAGATATACATACAAATATCAAACATACTAAAATTTGAAACATGTAAAGATAGATAGACAGACAGATAGATATGAACAGAGATACATACTTATATGCACACGTATCTATATGTATACACATGTATATAAGTGAAACGTGCTTAATTCAGCCTTAATCAAAGAGCGCAGCAAAATGAACGAACCAAGGTTACCCGCGCAAGAAATAAGATAGAAGAAAAAACACATGAAATCGTATGCAATGCATGTTCTCTTCCTTGAAACACACCTCGCTGGTTGCTTGACAGCTCCTATCTTACAACGTGCACCGGACAGTACTCAAGACTAAGCTGACATACATTAACTTGTGTCACCTGCTTCACTAACCTTCTGCTCTTGTTTCATTTTACCCCACGCTTGACATTAGCCGTAGCCTTGACCTTGACTTACCCCAGTTTCTGACGTACTGATGCACATGTGTTCTGCTTCGACGGCCTGCTGGCCCTTCATCGTCTGCTTTGGTAGGAGGTTGCCCGCAGACTGCTCTGAGACGCCCTTCGACGGGGTCCTCCTTTCCGCAACGAGCAGCATTCCATCGAGGCTCTCAGACTGCTTGGATGCTGCCCGGGACTGCGGGCGGGATCCGGTCAGGGTCAGCTCGCCCGCCGAGGCTTCCCGAGAGGGCTTCCTGTGAATGCCGGGCAAAACCTTGTGGGACTTGGAGTCGCTCTTAAGCAGCAGCTCCATCTCGAGCAAGGTCTTCTCAGCTCGGGGGGACTTTCCTCTGAGATCGCCGGTGCTCGCTCTGTCCAACGGCTTGGGGGATCTCAGGCTCTGCTCTTCTTTGTCCCTCATGAGCCTGGAATCCGTCCTTGGCAATGAGAGCTTGGATTCGGAGGGGGGAAGTCCACGAGCTTGTGGCTTCGGCGACAGGCTGCTGCCGCCCAGGCCTGAACCCAGCTTGGCGAGCTTGGAGCCTTTGGGCGATCCACTTGGCGTTCCCCTCGGCGAACGACCACTCAGGGACGTCAAGTCTTCGGAAGCCCATGGACTCGTGCCTCTCGACGCCTCGCGTTGCACAGCACTAACACAGCCGGAAAAGCGGCTTGCAAAAAAAACCCTGCCTGGCTGTCGTCGGAAACCTCTCGGCAAGGAGCGCTGCTGCACGGTTTTTTACTCGAGTTGTCCACTCACTCTCCCTCTCACTCCATCGCTCTCTGCACGAAAAATCCTAGCACCCCACTCTTCTCTTCCACACATGCAAGGAAAGGCACGCAGCACCCTTCCGCGCGCTCTCTAACTGCCTTTTGATTCCTTTCTGCTGGGCGTGGGGCTAATGCAAATGCCGTGACACCTTGCCCCTTTCTCATTCTTTGATCTACCCGGCAAGCATTCCAGCACTTTTCGGACCATCAGCAACTTTGACCGGTGTGGGAGAGCATGGGAGCATTATGCAGCAGGCACATTCGGTTGCACAGAGCACAAGGCCTTTGTCGATCCGTGCGTTTGTCCACTATCCCGCTGTTCCCAGCGCAGATGCAGAAACTGAAACAACGACTCCATCCGTAAAGCTACGGGCAGTATAGTAAGATGAATATGTTTACGCCCCGGTACGCACACATACGCACGCACGCACGCACGCACGCACACACACACACACACACACACACCCACGCACGCACAGTCTCTCTCATTCCGTCTCTCGCACGCTCAAACACACCCAGCATTGCGCCGCCTCGCTTCCGAGAGCGATCAAGTCCGACTCCATGGGCGTCGTGGGACGAACGATGTCACGCAGCAGTCTCGGAGCGCGAGGGTGAGAGTCCCTGGATAGCTTCGAGGAAGCCCGGACTGAGCCAGAGCCCCTTGATTCCTTTGAGTCCACAAGGGAGGACGACGTTCGAGAGTCCTGTGAAGGGCGGTGCGAGACCGGATCGTCCGATGCCGTCCTGACAAGCAGCTCAAAGCTGGGAAGCTCGAGGGCTTCTCTCAGGTAGAAAGGACAGATATCTCGGCCTCGACACTAGCTGCGGGACTGCTCCAGCGGAGCTCTGTCGCGACCTTAGTCGCAAAAGCTGGCAGTGCTTGAAATGACGTTGCCCACAGCATAAGTCTCATCAGGTCCCGGCATGGAGGAAATGTTGCTGAAGGCGCTGCCGTTGCTGAGGCGGCTAATCTTTCGAGCACCTCGGGGCTACTGCCGTTCTTCATTTCGAGTCGTCTGTTGTAGCGTCAGGAACATGACAGGCTGCTGTCGCAAGCTCTTCCCAGGTCTCTTGAAGATGGGAAGATCCGATCTGTGCTTATGACTTTGTGTCTCACCGTGACGGAAAAAACCCCAATGTGGTTCGGACAGTTGCTCTGCCAACAACGCCGCTACCGCAACTGAACGTCACAAGCGACTGGGGTCTCGATCTAGTTCTGCAGTTTTTTAGGACGAGCATGGTTCAGAGGCCAGGGTCTCATCAGAGACGCTGCCGGGTCATGCTGCTGCAGCAGCTTGGGAGACCCTCGTGGTCTTCACGTGCTTTCAGGTGCTGGTGCTTAGCTGCATCAAGGCTTCCAAGGCATTTCATTTCATGTGGAGAGTTCATCATCCGTCAGCCCGCTGTCAAGTTGCTGCAAGAGTTGTGCCAAAGCCACATGGGAGTAACTGGGACTTTGAACCGGCATCTATGGCACCTACAATCGGTGGCAGCACCTTTGTCGATGCCCAATTCCAATTTTTGCTTGCCGAGGGGGCATATCAAGTCTCTGGTTCTTTTTCGTCTTTCGGCCTCTCTACCACACCGCAATCCGGACCCAGTGGTTCAATCGATAGAATCCGATAGAATGCGGGCAGGTGAGGTCAGAAGAAATCGTTGACGGTCGGGCGACGGCCTTGCGTCTCGTCGCCGCCGGTGCCATGTTGGCTGCCACACGGCCAGCTGCACTTCTCTTCCCATTCCTGCGCACTGCCTCCCTCGTGCAGATGCACTCCAAGGTCATGAAAAGGGATCAACTCCCTGCGACCAGGTGCCCAGTAGTCTGCTTCCCAGGTCGGCACCACCCGAAAGCAAAGGTCACGAGCTGTGAGCTCTTGCTCCTCTAGCAGGCTCTGCAAGTGCCTCAACCTGTTCGAAGCCGCCTTCGCTTCGGCTCTGCTCCGTGCCAAGGAGGCACCAGGCACACTCAGGAGCTGCTCAAGGAAACGTTCTGCTGCGCTGGCATCGAGAGACCTCACGGCAGATGCGACGGACGGATGCAGGATCTCGGCAGCCTGGGGCAATTCAACGCAAGCCGGGAACCAGTATGTGAACTGGCCGATCGTCCCGTCGCTGTCGTCGAAGAGAAGCAATGCATCGCTGGGAAAGCCATTGAGGACTCGTGTCGAGTCAATGCATACCAGCTCGAAAGAAGCATCAGCCTCAGCCTCGCCGGACACCTTTTGCCTCACCATCAAATTCGATGGGCCTCCGTCTCGCTGCAGCGTTATGCAAGCCAACATGCAAAGTCGATGTATGTTTTGCACATCTAAGCATGACACAAGCCTGAAAAAGTCGGCATCCGTGGGCTCTTGCCTGGTATAGGTGTCTCTGAGTAAGGCATCCACACCACAGCTTGGTCCACTGGGTGTTGCAGCGTATGCCTGCAGAAGGTCAACGGATCCGAAGAAGTTGGCTAGGCGAGAAGCAGGCGCAGTGGATGCGGGGGGCCCGGTCTTTCCAATGAGAATGCACTTCTCCATCGTGACCCACATGTTGGCGGGCCATGTCTTGCAGTTCTGCTCCTTCTCATGTACCCATGCAGCTGTGTGCTCTCGTAGCACATCGAGGACACTGAGGCTGGAAAAGTCGGCGAGGGTCAATGGCAAGTCCACTGCTATACACGGGGCCACCACGTCACCGAAGCCCAGCCACTCCGCGAAGACGTAATTGCACTCCTCGCGAAATGGTATCCCCGGGAGCTCGCCACGATACTTGACCATAGCTTCCGGGACACCCTTTCGCAAAAGCATGCCAACGAAGCCGCTTTCGCCATTTGGCTTTACAAGCTTCACTTCCACATCCGCACTGAGCGCCGATTCGCTCAGGAAATTTCTCAAAGCCGAACAGGCGCGGGGCAGTGGACGGCCTTCCCAACATGTGGCGAGTGTACGCTGCACTTTGTTGCGAGCGTCGATAACGACCCCTTCGGACCCTTGTTCAGAACTTTGAAGCTCGTTGGCGAGCTCTCGCAGGCAAGCTGCTAGCGAAAGCGGTGGCGGTGCCACTGGAGGCACCGCCATTTCTAGCCATGCCGGCTTCCGAAAAGCTGCGCAAGCTCTCCAGTGTAGGCTCACATGTTCTTAAGACGATGGAAGAAGAGGCTAGCTGGTACCTGTTTGAGTTGTCACTGGTAGTAAACGGCTCATGCTTGATCCAGTGCTTGCCGTCCGACATGCACAATCGATCACTGAACATGAGATGGTGTGTAGCTGAAGCAAAACACGGGATATGTCTGAGGCCGCGGCTTGATGCATCCATTCTCGGAAGTGCCGAGTCTGGTGGAGCGAAGACATCCAGCAGGGAAGGTGTAGGCGGCGAATCTGGCTTGTCCTTAGGAGTTCAAAGGACAGCTCTAGCGGCCTCTACCAGCAGCGAATTCAAACAACATGCTGTCCAGATCTACAGGGCCTCATCACCGAGGTGCCTCTTCGTCCTGCACCACAATTTTCCAAACTGCCTTCTGTAGGCGGTCGGGCATGGCCTCACCAGTCCTGACGATATCTTAACAGGGGAGCGTCGGTGTCATTGTTTCGACTCTTGGCTTGTTGCGGAGCCTTTGCCGACCGTCGTTGGTCAACAGTACCTCGGCCTGACGAACAGTGCAGAGCTGGCCGACCCAAAGCACAGCACCCGTGCTTGCGCCCAGGCCTCATCCTCGAAGACAAAGCTTCGTGACTGCTTCAGGGTGGGCTTCGCCTGCCCATCTGGGCTGTTGAACTTCAACTCTTGGAGGACGACGCAGTTCCCCCCTGCCTTTCTGTGATATCCGCTGTGGCTGCCAATGCTTCCACCGAAAGTTGGATCTCGAAACAGTGGCACCCATCGATTGCGGCTGCTTCGTTTCACCGGCGCAGGCGCAGTCGGTGCGGGTGCAGAGGCGCTCTTCTTCAAAGCGTGAGCGGCCGGGCGATCCTGGAGACTCTCTCGAGGGCAAGTTGCGAGGCTTTACATGAACCATGCCGACAACCTTTACAGTGCAGCCAGGAGACGACTTTCTTGGCTGCATCTTCCTGAGCACATGCTGCGACAGCTCAAACGGAGTCAAAGAAGGACTCTGCCGAAGTCTGTCTTCCGACATTTTGTGCCAACACAACTTGAGCTGCGTCTCTTCCGAAGCGGCAGCCAGCGACGCCTGGTTAGGCTGCCGGCTTGACATGTCGCCGCATCATTGCGCAAAACGTGGATCGTCCTGCCCCGAGTTTAGGAAATGCCTCATTTGGGGTTGCGAACGTCTCATCTGGTAGTCATGCCGCGCTTGCCTATTTCTGCACCGTTGGACCGTTAGACTCCTCTAAACTGCACCAGCTACACTAGCGGCTCTTCAGAGATTTCATGATTGCGGCGGCTGAAACTTCACTCTCTCATGCAGTCACACCAAAAAATAAAATCCTTTAGAGATGTTTTATTGTTCTTCTACTCGGCCTTTTGGCCACGGCCGCCTGGTGCAGAGATCAGCTTTGCTGAGTCGGCACCTTGAGCCTTCGACACCCTGAGAGCTTCGACATCCGATATCTGCACTTAAAGCTCCCTCGCAGATGGTGAGGGAGACTGGAATTTCTTAAGACTGAGCCCCACTCCAGCTGCTTCTTTGTCTCGACTGGTTGCCAGGAGAAGGGTCCTGGCTAAACAAGAACTGTCTCTGCTGCATCTCTGGGATTCACAAGGTACATGGGGCAAGCGAAACGATGCTCCCAAGGGGCCGTCGGGGCATTCTTCCAGTGTGCTGAGCGTCGGCGGCAGTCGAATGCCTTGCCTGAATGCAGCTGATTTCAAAGGCAAGCCGTTGTTGATAAGTATTGCAGCCGACAGGCGGGCCAATCTGCTTGCCACTGGGTTTGTATCTGAAGGTATAGACCATGTCTCTGTCCGCCTCAGGGTTCCCACCCCAAAAAAGTGGATCTTGCAAGGACCACGGCATCGAAGTTCGGCGTGCTCTGAAACTATTCCGGGGCCCCGGCCCGTTGAGCGTTGTAGTTCTCTGACTTGCCAGGGCGGCGACCGGCGTCACGCCTGCGCATGGAGAGGACGGCGTGAGACGCGAAGTGAGATGATAGCGGATATGCGAGCCGTGAATAATCTTGCGCGGACACCGACGCCCGGTGCAGAATCCAATTGTTCTCAGCTGGCCTGTCGCCATATGCCCGGCCATATCGATGAAGATTCCATTGGAGGAAAGGGACTGTTTCCACCTCGTCGCTAGCACCCAGACAGCAGTAAAATGACATGCTGTAACATGCTTAGCTAACCAGATAGCTTAAACAGAGCGGGCATGAACCGGCAGGACTTACACGAAACACTGAACACCCACTGGACAGACAGGAGTTATAGAATGCCTGGGACGGAAAGCTCAACTTTGTCTTCGCGGTCAAGACGATGCCTCTCACTCTTTGGGGAGGGTCCGTGTCACTCGTCGTCAGCCGGTTTTGCGGACCCAACGATGTCTGTGACAGCAGCAGGCAGAAAAACAGCTGCGAGCACCCGCTCCTGGCAGACTTGCACAACCTTTACTTGCAAAAACCAGGGCCACAGACCTTCAAGCAATGCCGCATCTGTTAAGGTCCTCGTGACCACTGAAGACTCGAAGGCACTCCTCCGTTTCCACATCAAAGAGCCGGGCGGTCCAGTCGGACGACGAGGTCAGCACAGCATCGCCTTCATAAGGCTCCGACCTACCTCGACTGTACCAGACAGAACCAGAGCCAGCGCCTCCAGGGGAGAAGATGGCGGACCAAACCAGGCCTGCAACGTACCCCCGCTGCTCGCAAGCCCGCAAGCCTGGAATCCTCCCCGCCGGAGCGCATGGCCTGTGTGTCCGGGGAAGGTCCTGCTGTCGCGGAACGTGTGGCGCAGGTCAGGGTTCCTACAATCCTGCAACCTACAGCCACCAAGTCGAACCAACAAGCATCAGAAGCTTCGACCTGTCCTTGTGCACCTTCCATCGGAGACCGTAAAGATCTTTGCCGCAGAGCTGTCTGTTGCCACAAGGATCGTTTCTCCACATGGCGAGAAGCAGCAGCTGCGAGCCCGGCCTGCATGCCTCGCAGCAAGCTAAAACCACTTGACTAAACTTCTATCACGCTTTCACGCTTTGCTCCCAGACTGGTGCAGCACCTGCGGAAGTCCCGGATGAGACAAGAAGTGCTCGCATCGAATAACCGAAGTACACCATCAGCGCATGTTGTCAGTATGGTCCTTAAACTGCTAAGCAACAGCTACATCCACAAAGGCATCACGCAACACAGACGCCTGGCCATTCCACTGCCTAGTGAAGCCACCGCTGCCGAAAATTTGTGAACAGCCCCACACACACACACAAGATCAGCAATCCAAGTCTCGTCATGTCCGGAGAAAACCTTGCCTTAGCGATTGCTGATGTCGTCAGAGCCGTTCCGATATGCCCCGATTAGCGAGTTTGGCGATGACTCTGACCGTGCAGTGCGATGGTGGTGATGCTGATGATGGCGATGAAAGCAGCAAAGCCTACTGACTACTCTTCTGCTGGGGATGATTGCGCGGCGTGATTCCGGAAATCAGCTTCAGCCCAGTTGCCAGCAGAACATGACCCATGTGGCCTTTGAAAAGCTGGGCGCTCTGCCCTGATTTCACATCAAAAATCTGCGCCACGTGCTCTTTGAAGGAGACAACGACCTGTCGGCACGAGTTTTCCCATCTTCCCCATGCTCTAGTGAATCTGCAAGCAAACCGTCAGCCTTTGCACTGTCTGGCGAGAAATGCGCTTGCAAGACGTGCCCAAGCCTGACTCTGCTTGGCAGGAAGCTCGATGCAAGCACTGTGAAGATGGCGGCGAATGGTCCGTGAACCAAAACGGCCTAGGCCTCCATGCGACTGAGGCGCGCCGCCAGGGCACGCGGTGCCCTTTCTTGCGCCCAATCCACGAGAAGCACGTCCCCTTTGGCATCCACTAGCAGCACGGTGGTGGCGTCCGGTGAAAATGCCGCACTCACAAGGCCCTGGCGACACGAGAGACAGTCGTGGGTCCATCAATCCAACCACAGCATCCAAGCATGAATGGTCCTAGGTTGCGCCTCATGCTGCTCCTCGAGCTTCAGACGATAGATTGGCTCTCCGGTGCTCGACTTGTATATCGAAACCATGAGATTGTCGCATGCCAACAGAAAAATCCTCCCAGTCTCCTTAGGCACACACTGGGCATGCCGAGATCGGAAATGCTCCAGCATACTCCAGCCCTGCATAGCCATACATGATTAGGCTAATGAAGTGTCGGAGACGTCCGCTGAGACGATGTCATTGTAACCGAAATCGTCGAAGTCCTCGTTGAATGAGTGCAGGCACGCACCTGGTGTATGCAAATCAAGGGGCTCGCACGGACCACAACTCAAACGCTCCGTTCTTTTGGGTGGGAGAGCACCTGTCTCCAGATCGAAAATCTTGGCCGTTGAATCTTTCGAAGCTGTCAATACTCTGGCGACCTGCACGTAAGCTAGAGGACCACTTGGCCCTGACGTAGCGTGGCCATGAAGTGATTTCGAAGCTCGTTCTTAGTTACGTGCATGTCACAGCATCCCTGCAGTAGCGGCCGGAAGGATTGGCCGAGGCGGGAACTCTTCTCCCCGGGCTGAGGGGGGCTGGGGGAGGGGTTGTGGCAGCTTTCATGGCAAGCAAGCTTCATCGTAAACGAATGTCCGACGGCACCTCGCCCGGTGCAACAGAAGGCTAAAGCAAAATCAACTTGCATTCAACGAAGCAAGCCGACAAAGACAACATGACATTGACAACATGCACTTGAGGTGCTTGTATTGAGTCGCTACTGACTAGAAGCTGTCAAACCGAGCCATTCCGAAACTGCCCCTCGAACCGAAGCCAAAACATGTCGTCACTGTACGAGGTCGGAGGTTTTCGAACTGGCGTAGGGCTCCTCAGAAGAGTGAGCCCAAACTTTATAGGCCCGCGTCGGGGAAGTTCTGAGATGCGAACCAGGGAAACAACCAGCTCAGAGCTCACAGCTGGAGGCTTGTCAATCTAGGGCGAGCATATGCTCCAGTAAGATAAGGGGCAGCTTTGTTTCGGTGCATTACTGCTCGGCGGGCTTTAGTGTGTGCGCCTGTCTGATTCTGGGGTCAAGGACCCTTAGCCCGACTCCGAACCGGCAGCCTCGAAGCAGCCGCTGCGTCCCGGTTGCACCACGGCCGTCAGCTCAACCCCAGGCACAAGCAGGCCTGCGGCGGAGACCTGTCTCGAACATCACTTGTCCGGGCATCGTAGAGGGGGCTTGTCTTTGCCATGCTGAGCTGGACGAACAGAGAGAGTCTGGTGTGCAGGACGACAGACACTCTACGCATTACGAGCTCCTCGTCTTCAACTGACAGCTCCTGCCCCTGCAACCTGAGTTTCGGGAAGGTGCTTTGAAGTGACAGGCTAAGTATTGCCGGGGAAGCCTGCCGAGCTACGCCGGCTTCTTGTTCTTAAAAGGCCGGGAGGTCTGCCGTGAGGTATGTAGCCAAGCAGCACCAGCCGCAGGGAGGGGACGGAGAGCTGCTGGTGGATGGATGCTACTTTGTCTCCCTCCTTGCAGGCACCGATCTTACAGGACTACCTTCTGCTTCACAAGCTAGGTGCACTCGACTGCTTTCCTTCCCGCGACTGTCGTGAGCTGCCGCCAAGCATCAAAAATGGAAACGTTGGCCAGCAGCTCTCCGGAAAGCGAATAAACTGGAACGGTGGCCATGCCATTGGTGAGGTTGCTTGCAAGGACGGCGACGGCACGCGAAGTTCGACTTTTTGGGGCTTCATTGCGGGCCTGTGAAAATACGGCTGCTTCAATCAGGTCTGTCTTCTGTGTCGGCTGGAGCCGTGCACTGGGGTGCATCAAGACACCATGCAGGAACCCGGCTGCCCTTCTGACCTGTCATATCCCAACCACACTATCCGCCCCCTGTTTGCACCCAGCTGGGCCGCGGACATGATCAAACTCATTCTCTTTGGCTGCAAAGGTAATGTATCTTAGAAGGCAGGCAGGAACAGAAAGAACTCCACACACCAAGGATGCCTGAACTGGTGAAGATCCTGCATATTCTAGACATACTTGATCACCATCATGACACGGGGCTCTTCTTTCCTATGCGCCCTCAGCGATGTGCCTAACACTACCTCTATAGCTGGCGAAAGGTGTCGCGATGCTAGCCAAGCCAAGCAGCTTGTCTAACAATCAAAGGCACTTGACAGGCACAGGCTAAGCTGAGACACAATTGCACCCTCAATGTTGCTGGACATCAGATGATGCAGGGAAAAGAGCCTGGATGTGCTACCTGCACCCGGAGTGTCAACTTCCCATCCTAGCTGTTGCATCAGCTTTGCTGTCAATGGCCGTTATCGTCCACCCTTGTGAAGACAAGCGTCGAAAATCGGACACCCACTGCTCCCATATTCGAAGCAACCTGCCGAGTGAGACGTTTTTCTCAACATCCTGAGGACAAAGCATATTGTCTCTGAAGGACGAGCAGTCGACCACGCAACAAGCAGCATCAGCAACACAGAGCTTGCATGACGCATGCCACAAGTACTTTCTGGAAGTCTCCAGAACCCAAAGGCCTTCACCAAGCCACCCACTTTCATGAAGGATCGCAGTGCCCGAAAGAATAATCTCATCAAGTTTTCCTGAGGGCTGGTATGTACCTCCTCTTGGCTCTTTGCTTCATCAGAATCGTCCGTCGCTGGCTACGATGTGTGCAGCTTGGCGTCATGACGCCAATTGACGACTGGGTGGCCGTCGAAAAAGCCACCCACAGCTCCTCACATGCATGCAGCACCAAGGCGAATGTGCTAAATGAGTGCTGGCCACACGTCCTTGCCTGCATGTGGGAAGTTGTAATACACTGCCCCGATGGCTCCCTCACGGAACTTAAGTCAAAGGGCTCTCCCAAGGCGGAACCTTGTCAAGCGACCCGGCCTCCAGACCCTTAAACTTTGGATTCATGGCGATGCGTGTGCAATCGATCTCATGGTGCACCTCTGCGTAATGCTCCTGGCCGATGCTTCTCCGCACGACTTGAATACAACAAAGGCCGAATGTCAACTCTTCGCACAGAATCAAGTTGAATCAAGCCAACCGGTGGAAGTGCTTGCTTGCGCTACCTACATCTCACATGCCTGGTCGAGTGCAGATTTCCGGCCGAATGCGCAGTACCCTGGGTCATGGGTCCTCGAGCGTCTTGATGGTTTCATCTATTTCCTCAAAGACATCCATGCCACTGGTGATGCTCGCGTATGATCCACAGGCAGTCCTCGTAGCGCTCCCGAAGAGTCTCCAGGGACTCGAAGGTGGTCGCAATGACGCGGCCAACATGGCCTGCTGCGGCTAAGCTGCCAAGTACAGGGTGCAACACTTGCCGCGGAGTCCCAGGCTGAAGTCAAAAACGCACGTGGAAAGAACTCATAGCTGCTGTCTGAGCCGATGGCCAAGAACCTTGCGGTGTCTCGCCAAATTTAACCTGCGAAGGTCCATGAGGCAAGCACAGGCAGAAGGTGCCGGCATCGCTGTCAGACCAATAATGAAGCAGAGCCGCGCAAAGCTCAAGTTGGCATCCCCGAACACCTCAACTTCGGGACGAGACTAGCTGCACATCTTCCATCTGCTAAGCCTTCGCAAAATCGGCAAACACCAACTCTCCTCGATTCTTCCGAGTCTCCGCAGCATCTGCAGTTGGGTCAATGAGCTCAAGCCGGTGGAAGCGGCCGATTGCGGCCAACCCAGGCGCATCTCGGCAATTGCTCGTGCGAAACAGACGGCGCAGAGAGCAGAGAGGACTCAAGGGTGCAGCGGCTCTGCTTCTGAGATGGTCTTCTCAGCTCAATCCCTGTTCGGGCCCGCCCGGGCCTGGCATGCAGCCTTCCGTCCGCCCCTCCAGCGGAGGCGACTTCTTCGCCTCACCAGCGGAGCTCTCTCGGATACCACGTCTGCTGCGACGGGATGCGACGAAGTCTTCAATGAGCTTAGTTGAACTGAACGGCATGTCCGGGGAGGGCTATGTGTCACTGCTATTGAAAGCACCAGGGATCTTTCAAAATTAGCTGTGTGCATGAACATCTTCGTGTGTCTGCAACGACCGGTCTCCGAGCCTCCCAAACTTCCTGTGCTCCTATACTCATAATGAAACCCTGCCGCCAACCTGCTGGTAGATAAAGCTCCAATCAAGCGCTTGAAGCTTGCTGTCCACGTTTGTGCGTGCTGCTCTTGAACCGAGGCGACCCACTTCCCTTTCTGAAGCAGGGGGAGATCCGTCCAAAGCTCTCCCCCACACCCCAAGCAAACCTACCTGCATGTATCCGAAATGGATCCCTGCGTGGACAGCTGGGGGTTTCTCACCGCTGGCACCGCGCACGTAAAGGGGGAGCAAGCGGGTGCGTGCGCACAGGGGCAGGTGGACGGGAGGGGGGCGTGCAGGCATGTTCGGCGTGCGCGCCTGCATTTGCGTGCGGGCGTGCGGGCGTGCGGGCGTGGTGTCGTCCGGGAGTGCGGGCGTGTGTCTGTCGGTCGGTCGGTCTTAGCGGTCAGCCGGTCGATCAGTCTATATTATCGTGTGTCTCATGATTGCCATTCAGTCTCCGGGTCTGGGGGTCGCACTTGAACAGCACTTGAACGATTGATCCCATAAGGCCTACGGAGCCTTAACTTGCCCACGCTGAACATAACGGCATCGACAGCTTCAGAAAGCCTCCGCAACCAGCTTCCCAATGTTCTGCGTGCCATCGTAATGATCCATCACGTAACGCAAATCCTGCGTAAGCGAGCATGGCTGTGGAGACCCGGCATTCCATGAACTGCTGGTCCTTGTGGCTCAGTGTTCGAAGGAGACCTCAGCATTGCATTTTAGAGACTTGCGCAGGGGTCGTCTGGCTGCTCTGAGTCAAGGAGGCTCGGGCCATCTGCATCCAAACCAAGTTTCCACTTGTCTCGGAAAGTGAGGAGCCTGGCATGGCTGCAGCATGGCCCAGATCACAAAGCAGCTCAAAGCTCCATACAGCGTCCGAGCGGCATGTCGAGCGGACCGCCACCCAACGTCTGGCCCTCCAGCCCTTGGACAGCAAAGTGCAAGGACTGCAAGGACTGCAAGGCCAGGCGGCCAGGCCAGGCAAGCTGGGGGCCCAAGCACATGGCGACCTGCGTGGCCACTTGGTCAGCTGGGATATTCCTCGACACACGGAACCGGACGAAACGGTCTGCTTGGGGCAAAAACACCCCCGCGACTCGAAGCTCCTCCAGTTGGACTCATCGGGCACGAAGGACGAGTTCGCCAAGTACTCGAGCTCCCGGGTTTCCAGCCCTTCAAGCACGTGCAACATCACCCTGTCGTCCAACCTTAGCTCGGCTCGGGAGCATCAGCCCAGGATTCCTGGCTCAGATGCCGGCCTATCCCACTTCCTGAGTGCAGGACACATGCTGGGCACATGCAGACCACGCTACAACAAAAGAGTTTGACAGAGGGTGCTTGCCAAGTTGCTCTAGCAGCTCGTCAATCCTATGGCGACGGTCGACGTCGATGCTGTTTTCCATGGCGCGCTTCTTCTTGGAGAATCCATCCTGAGCTCTAGCACACAAGACTACCAATCAAGCTTGAACTTTAAACTTTAAACATTACGCCCTCCCGCAGTCTGCCTCAGAGTCCTGGCTCAGCAAACGCTTTAGCCGCAACGTGCCCTCCACGGCATCTTTCAGATGTTCCTAGAGGACGACTCGCGGCTGTGATTTCTACCGAACTTCCACAGCCACCGGAGCGCCTGTACCTCCTCAGACTCGTCCTCGCTGGCATCCACCTGCAAGCCACCGTAATTTCAGAAAGACACAGTGGAAAGAGTGAGATCTGCTTCTTGACTCCAACGCAGCGGGAAGCTTGCACTGTCGCCTTGCGCGCCACCATGCCGCGCAGGCCACATCGCCCGCGGCTTGGGGCGTGGAGCCAAAACTCGTGGCGAATCTCAATCCGGCGCCGCTTCGACTCACTGGGAAAGCACATGGAGCTTTCCTGCAAGATTGTCCACCAACCTCGACCTGCTTTCCTGTGAGGCTTCAGCTGATGATTCAGCGGTAAAATAGTAAACTGCCATCAACCATGGGGCCTCAGCAACTACTTGGCAAAACACACACGCACACACGGGGGCCAGACCAGAAGGCGAAACGAATCGAAAGCGGAGGCTCCTTGCCCACCACCTCGGCAACTGAGGGAAGAAAGGCTTGATAAGCCAGCGTCTTTCTTTGTCAAATGCCGAAGCATTCTCGGAAGTAGTGTCTATCTGGTGCCTGCTGAATGTTTGCCTCTGCTCCTTCAACATCCTCTTCTGCAAGATCCTGGCGTGTACGGACTCTGCGCACTGTGCAAACCATTGCAAAACAATCACAGCGTTGACAGAGCAACCTTTTGCAATCTGTCCTGGGCGATCGGAGAATCGGGATAGCTTCCTCTCATGAGCTCGTTTGCGAATCAACGGCTCCGAAACTCTTGAAGGTCCATCGCATAGCAGACACATCTGGCGGAGCCTTCACAGCCTGTGTGGTCAAAAGTCTGCTGGCGCTCTGCATAGACCTGGTCGCCGCTTTACCATGACTGCTCTAGTGTTCACAACCGCAGAACACGAATTCGGGATGGGCATGGCTGCAGCACGTCCCATGCCTTTGCGCTTTCTTTCGAATTGGTTCCCAAATTTGTTCTGAGAACTCCTGATCCCGGACTCCACACGCCACCCAATCTAAGCGCCTGGCTTGTGCCGCCTGCGCCTGCTGGGCTGCCACCTGTTGGGCTGCCACCTGCTGGGCTGCCACCTGTTGGGCAGCCACCTGCTGGACGACCGCCTGCTGGGCGGCTTGTTGCACGACCGCCTGCTGTTGGGCAGCCTGCACAACTGCAGCACCGTGCCATCTCTTTCTCTTCCTACTCCGCTGCACTTCTTGCATGCCTGGCTGTAAGCCGCAGCTGCAGAATTGTAAACCTCGGCTGTGCGGCAGGATGCGGCAGGCGGACCCCACAAGTGCAGCGATCCTGTAACGGACTTGTAAGATGCCATTAGCCGGCCAGCATTTTCTCGAATCAGGCCCACAATCCATTCGCACAAACAGCTGCTTCGCAGCATGTGCCGACTACTTTTCGTCTTTTGCCATGCAATCAGTCATCACCGACTGCAATCGACCAGCTCCCGATCTACAGGATAACGGCTCGCAAAAAAGGCGCACATGGTCGCGCATGTGCAGACCTTCTCGTTCAACGCAGACGCATCTCTTAGTCTTAGTCTTCCTTCGCTCTTCCTGCCATGTCATCATACCTTGGACTTGGACAGAAAGTAGGCTCGCAGCTATGTTGGAGTCTGGTCTGCCCCGTGCTTGACAAGCCAGGGTGCTGCATCTGCATGACGCGCTGCAAGTGTCTCGCGAGCAGCTCAAAGTCCTCGCCCTTCTTGTCCTGTTGAGATGGTCGATAGGGCACGCGCACGAGCATTCCTAGGCCTTCGTGCATCTGCATCAATCTTTGACGACCTGTCCTCTGCGGAAATATCTTCAGACTCGCGGAGTTGCTTCACAAGTGCCTCGACCGGGCCCATGGGCAATGTATGGAAAGAACAACATCGACAGACACAAGCCGATCTGAGTCTTAACCCCTGCAGGTATCAAATGATATTCAAGACGTCCGGCCGCAGGTTTCCAAACACTGCGAAGTCCGGTCCGGCAGTATCGGTAAAGAAATGCGAAGAACTCTTGCGACGCCCTGGCCTTTACACCGTCTGGTGCAAGCTGCTTGCAGCTGACTCGAATAGAACCTGACGCTTAAGGTGTGCAAGGGATACGGTCTCGCACGGGCGGCTAGTACATGCAACAAGGGCCTGGAAGTCCTCCCATCTTCATCTTCCGCGGCCAAACCTTTTCATTCCCGTGGCATACTACCTCGGCAGATGGCTCATGGCAGATGTCGTGGTTGCTTGGGAGAGCAGCACAAAGGTTTTGTGTAACTTGGAGCTATCATAAAAAAGGCCACGCCACAGATATTAGCCTCGCATCAAATTCCAACGCTTTCCTCAGCGAAGCAGGCAGCACCGGCAAGTGCTACGCTCCTCAGTGCCTGCTGTCAGCATTCCTTGCTGTAAACGAGTCTCTTCATGCCACCATAGCGGAACGGCATGAGCTGGTCTGGAGTTCTGTTGCACTGACCTGGCGCACTTCACACTGCAGCACCTCTCGAGGCTAATCCTCGCAGGGCCTTCAGGGTAAAAGCAAAGCCAACCGCCACTGTGGAGGTGCTTGTCCACCTCAATGGAACAGAGAGCGCTTGCTTCGCGGTGTGCACAAGTGTTCCGGCCAGAGCACTTCCTGATCGACCTTCTCGTTCTTCTCCTTGTCAACCTTGAAGACTCCCTCTTCCGCGCTGTTGAAGTAAACGGGGAAATGACCCACAGAGCCTGGCCAGAGCTCAGGTGTAAATCTTGGAGCGGAACTCCACTGCCTGGCTTCAAGGCAAGGAACGACACACTGTCGATATCAGTGGCATGGCAAAGAGGTGCGCATCCATGTAGGTTCGGCCTCGGAGAGACGAAGGAGGACTCAGCTGTCAGCTCCGGGTCCCTCTGACGCTTCTCCAGCATCCGGATGTCACAAAAAAAACCATAAAGCCTTCATGCTGTGAAAGATCCTGCCGAAGATGCCTACAGCAGGCGGGCTACTGTTTACTATTGATGATGAGATTGTGGAAATGAAGTGACCGTTTTCTCCTGTTCCTTTCCTGCCACTGCACCCAACTTTCGCGGACATGCTGCAGCATGCAGCGGGATCTAAGGCACCGGCATTTGATGAGCACGGACGCAGGCATACAGCAGGTCGCAACGATTACATCGAGGAACGAGGCGTGATTTCCTGAACTCCAACAACAAGAAACTTCGGCTTGTGCGCACGGCTTCCCAAAAGGGTTTGCAACGCACCCTGCCAGTCTAGGGTGGGAGACACCACAGAAAGTAGACCAAGCATCCCAGAACCATCAGTGGCTGCTCGGTTACACCCTCCATCTTCTGCTGCATGCCTCTCCACCTGAACATGGACGTCTCGGCTTGACACCATCTCTCTGGCATCCAGCTTCTTCCGAGAGGCTCGGCCGCAGTGTCCTTAGAGTATCACGATAGGTTCGTCAAGTGAAGTCTAAAGACCAAAAGCTTGCCCCATGGCGTCCTAGTCCCAAACGACATCCACAAAGTGCATGACAGCACTCATGGCCGGGTCTCTTCGGAATGGGATATGGAAACCCAAGGGCAGAAGAAGAGTGATATCCTCCAAGCTGCCTCGGAACAGAATCGTGCCGTGTATGCCCAGCTCAGCACAATTGCCGCAGACAGCCCCTCTACCATGGCATCCTACACGAAGACCTGCGCACGGCATTCTCTTCCGATCTCTCGACTCGTGTGTGCTCTAGAGCAAGTTTCGGCCAGGCAGGAGGCAAGCAATGCTGTTCTCCCAGTTTACCGAAGTACAGTATGGCCTGTGGCTTTCCACCCAAAACGATTTCCAGTTAGCATTGTCGCAGCTTTTTCCAGAGAGGTTACATGTCTCTTCCGGGTGAACATCACTCGCGGTTTTGGCATGAGATTATCCTCCCTTTGGGATCGATGCAGATACGAACATACAACGGAGAGAACTTGCGTGCAAGCGACCTGGACCACAACCAGGCAAATGCTCTCTCTTCTCCTCGAGGAATGACATGCTGTAATGTGTCAGGACATCAACTTTCGCAGATCAGAAAGGACTAGAACATTGGAAGGATAGTGCACGGGACTGGTTCATGGCCTCTTTTCCATGGGCAGAAGACCTCGTTTGACAAGCAGGGGAAGCTGCTCTACGCGCACCAGCTCACCAGTTGCAGACAGCTGCGAAGCAGGGGAGGCGAGGATTGCCAGCCCCAAAGAGTCCCCCTATTCAGATAAGCAGCCCACAACTCGCATAAACATCGTTGCCCAAAGCAAGTTCCTGACTTGGAAAGCGGCTTTTCCTAACAAGTTCGAAGGCTTGGAGATCACGGCATCCAGGACATGCTGACATGCGGTGCCAGGTGGCAGGGCGAAGCACGCCCCAAAGCAACCAACGCACAGTTTCCCAAGCATCGATCCCATGGCGAGTGCCACCAATGGGCAGGATCTAGCCAACTCGTCTCTAAACCAAGCTGCCGCACAACGCACAAGTGCAAGTCATGGGCTCGTCCTGCTCATTTTTGCAGATGTCCAGGCAGGCTCAGAAAACCATCTTTGGTCATTGAACGTCAAAACTTCGGCCTGAGGCCAATGCGTACATCTGCGGCGGCGGTTGCATCGGAACCTGACCATAAAAGCCTCAATCACAAGTTAAATGCAAGAGCCCATGCGGTTGCCGATCACCACGGTTGGGCTCCTAAGGCTCCTTGCTGCGACTCCCTTGCTGTCGCTCGATACCGAGGTTGGAACCTTGCTGTGGCCTTGGGCATCGGCAGCTCTAACGTCGGCATGCTCCATGCTTGACCGAAAATGCCGTCGACTTCCGGTTTCCAAGCCGTCAACATGTGTGGATGCCAGTTGCCTGGCAACCTGGCAGGGGGCGAGCAAGCCGTCTGCAGCGGTGAAGCGTATGGCACCGTACATCGCGCTCTCTGTTCTCTTTCTCCACACAAGGACTGGAACGGCCTCGGAGAGGCCGTTCTGGGCGAGGCATTCCGTGGGGATACAAAAGGCGGCTGCGCGCCGCTCGGGGGCGGCGGCCGGTGGATGGCCGGGGGCCTCGGAGAGTCAGCACGATCCTCTGGATCAGTCTCCGAAAGAGCACGACAGCACAAGAGAGAGCCCTGAGAGGGCCGACGGTGACCGTGGAAGTGGCGGTCGGTCTGGCGCCGATCGCTCTACTTCCTGCACGGGAGCCAGCGACAACCTTGGCAACGGATCACGGCTTCGTCTTGAAGCCAGACAGTTCCGCATCTTAGCTTTTAGATATATCCGGCTGAGGTCACCACTCCTCTCCATGACCTCAGCAAGCAACGGTCGATAAGCCCTTCAAGTGTCCTCAGCCGCAGGTGGCGTCTTAGCTGCAAGCCAGCTTGCCGCAACGACTTTACCTGCTTTCTGCAATGAGCAGTCTTCCAACCAGCAACACAAAGCACGGAAAACGAGTGACCGAGTAGGCGCAGTAGCCCGTCTCAAGCAGTTGTCCTAACCCCTCGCAAAGCGCATCACCGCTGCCTCCTGTCGAGGCGACTTATGCCTGAGCGAGCGAAAAGCTATGATCTGCTGCCACGACGCGCGGTTTCAGTCAAGCTCAGCCTCTGGCATCTGCGAAAAGTCTGGCAGCTGAATAGGCGCTGACGTTCCAAAGGTGAACCTTGAGTCTGCGATGCGGTTTTCAAAGTTCAAGCGTTGACGCTCCCCTAAAGCCCGTCAACACCACCGACTGTGCGGCCCTTCTTTTGGTCATGCGTCTGCACTTTGGCAAGAAGCATGCATTCCACTCAATGGGTCCATGTTCAAGCTGCGGCAGAACTACCACAGCACACTATGGCAAGCTTTGATTGGTTACACAGAATGCTCACTCGGTTGAACTTAGCCCGCGAGCGGCTGATGGACAGTAATTTCCTCCTTGCTACAAACATCGGGAGCCACAACAAAATCCATCTGTACAAACACGGCGCAGTGGTCGGAGGCAAGTTCCTTGGAAACGAAATGACACACAAGCTGAACATAAAGGAGCAAATCCGCCTGTCCAGCTTACACCTCTTCCTCCAGGAGGCATCTGCGGGTGTGTCTCGCACAACCCGGGCAGTTTCACACATTGGAATTGGCCCATCTTCCAGACACAATCCGAAGATGTGATCAATCCTCGCAGCTCAGAAAGTCGTTGAACCGAAGCATTGGCTATTGCAGGCTCCTGGTTCCAAAGAGGCCACCGCACCAATTTGCCGGGAAGGTGGCAGAGCAGCAGCACGGGCCGCCACCCTCCTCACACTAAACTTCACACTTGCGAGGCGGTGACGGACATCGAGATCCACAGGCCTGCCATAGATCTTTCCACCTGGAGTCTGCAGCAATGACCTTACTTACTGCACAGTGGCAACCTCTGCACTCAGTGGCTAGCTGCTAGCTAGCTTGTATCATTTTCTTCTGTTCGGCCCCGTGTTTCTGCCCTGCTGCTGTGTCGCAGCCACGATCCACCCTCAGATCGCAGCTGCTGACGGGTTACTGTAGCCTCGCTTGGGCTGACTTTGTGGTGGGCAGCCGTGCACCACAGCATTTGCCAGCATCTGGGGCACTCTCTTGAACAGCCATGTCCAAACATCTCAGACAATGAGGCTACTTGACTTGCCGCGCTGTTGAATTTCTTCAATGTCTGCCTGTTCTGTATCGAACCTTCTCACTGCCTGAGCGGCCGGGAGAGGGAGAGGGAGATGGAGAGAAGAGTCCTGTCCGTCAATCAACGATCGACCCTTCTTCTGTTCGAGGACATTTGTCTTCACTAACACGCCAACAAGAACAAGCGAGCATGCACACCCACACACCCACACACAGACACAGACACACACGGTTCACGCATGTGCCTACTCGTGCAGCGCGTTCATGCCGCTCAAAGAGGCACACAGAGAGATCAAGAGAGCAGGACAAAACAAAAGGATCCACTAAATGCGGACACGAGCGAATGTCTGCAAGTTTACTCATCGTTGCAACCCTCCGAATTGAATTGACAGACATCACGTTTGGCGGAGCGTTTCACAGTCAAGAGGTTGGGTGCTGCATGTACAACACTTCGACCGTCTGCTGAGAGTCTGTGCACAGTGCTATGCAGCACCCTGTGGGCGATACATACACACGCATGCAGGCATGCACATATGTTGACCCACTATGACACGCTGAAGCAGCAAACTAGTGGAACACACGTGATTATCGCCATGCAATCTGCACGTGTAGATTGTACGCGCTTTTCGCCACTACTGCCTGAGTATCTGCAGACGTTGTGTTTGTGCTTATGAATCACTCGATATCGAGGAAGGTTCGAATACTTGTAGATAGTCATGCAGGACGTAGACTAGTTGAATGTTAGATAAAGCTAGTCGGTTACGTGTTGACGGGCTTTCGTCTGCTCCATCGGGCCTGAGATGGCAAGCAATACTGTTTACGGAATTAGATGGATAGTTCTTCAATACTTTTCATAAAAGACGAAACATATACTGGGTCAATGGCCAGGAAATGCTCAATAGGTCGAAAGGCACTGATTGAGCGCTCATCAAGATGAACTAACTATGTGGTAACTAAAGACGGGTGAAATGGCAAATACATATGACTAAGCTTTGGCCAAGGTGCGGGCCTGGAAGAAAAATCCGATCACATGCAACAAAGTATGAACAGTGTACATGTTGCGGGAGTAATGTGTAAGTGTCAGTCGACACGTTGTGCAAAGGCTGATGCAATGTTGGTCACCTGGTTAGGTTTCATGCGAACATTATGCGCGCAGAAAGTGCGAAGCACGAATGAACCTCTGAAACAAGTACCACTGTACATCAAACATGTTACGTATCCCATCATTGAATATCAGCCGGGAATAGAAGGAAGTTTCAGACAAGTACTGGCTACAAGCCCGTATAAGTTAACTTCAGATGCCATTTAAGTAGTAGATAAGCAATAGACAATCTGTCAGAACAGTTGCATCTGAAACAAGACGCAAAGGCTATCATATACTCGCTTGACGCGTGTATGACATTATCACTTCCTTGATGTTGCCACCTTTACCGACATGCCCTTGCCACTTGCTTGGTTCGCGGTGTAAATTGCAGAAAAACTGTCGTCAATGCCATGATGCCTCATACTGATGCCTCATATCATATCACACAGTCAGACCAGGAGCGGACATTTAAAAAAAGAACACGCGATGTTACTGCTTGCGTTTTCCGGCACCTCGTAGCACAGAAGCGAAGCCTCGCTATACTAGCTAGAGTGGTAACAGTAACAGCAACGACAGAAACGACAATAGCCGTCATCTTTTAGTGCTTCCTTCATCTTTGTCACAAACAGATCGACTCACGTCCAGTCATCATCGATTTCACATCGACTTCATCCATGGCTCCCGGGATCCCATCAATAGCCACAACGTACAAAACTATTGAAAAATCAAAACTCAGCATTTTCTGCCAGAGCCCGTTTGGATTCGTGGACTTTGTGAGGTCTGGGCTTTGGGAACCTGTGGAGTTATATAAGTCTAACAAAAATCACAACGTTCGAACATTGAAAACAAAAACAGCAAACGAAAGCATGTTCCTGGCATTTCCTTGGAGTTGTTGACGTTTAGTTTTGCCGGAAGGCTGCTCAGTTGTGGGGCAGACGATTTACTTCCGAATGAACACTGCCTTGCTCTTCCGGTCAGAAAGTTCGACAACAAGTCCAACAAGTCAAACACGGAACGAAGAGAAGCCTCCCTGTCGGAGATGCAGGGGACGGTGGACAAATCACGAAGCCTTCCTTTCTCTAAATAGGCGCATGTGGTGGTAACATACCTTTTTGTAGGTACTGACAAATGTTTTTACTGTGACATGTTTACATATACATATATAAATATATATGTGTATATATAATCATATGTGCCACTCTCAGAACCCGGCCGAATAGGAAGAATATGGACAGAAAGAAGGTGAGTTCAAATCGGCTGCTAGCAGAAACGTTGCCCTGGCATCACATCAAAGTCGCCATGCCCTTGATGCCACACTTCACAGCACCATGTTGCCTGTCACTTTCTGGCAAATCTTCGGATCGTAGTTCGTCCATCCAGCGAAGGACCTGTCAAACAAAAGGGGGTTGAGGCTTCGAATAGGGAAGTTACGTGTTGATGGCCCATCGCCTCAGCCGCTTGCCGTCGCTGCTCCTGCGACGCAATCCTGAGATGATATGGTCATGTCCGTCTTGGCTTCCGCAGCCAGAAAAGGAAGGCCTGTGGGAGAGATGCGTGTTCACAACCCACATCGGCTCGGCATCCTCTTCCTCCATGTCCAGAAGCACCTGTGTAGTGGCAGTTCTCATTTATTGAATTTCATCAACTTCTGAATGCTCGAAGGTACCGCAAGAGCGCCCCGCGGCTGCTCTTCCTGGTCCATGAAGAGGGTTTCACCAGGACTTCCCTCCCGGACAAAGAAGGGAGTCGCTGACACAACTGAAACATCTCTCGAAAGCAGTCGGTCCTCCGCGCGGTTGAAGGACAGCTGGCGCGACCGAATGATTGGGAACCTGACCCGCAGAGCTACGACCTGAAACACCCAGAAAACTGTCTTATCGTCTGAGCCTGCTCAAGATGCTTAGTCCGTACCGCCCGTCTCCAGAGTGTTGTAGAACTTCTCCACCGCGCAACGAATCCTCGACTAACGGGCGAGTACCGTTCCTCACATGCACTGCCTGCTCAGGACCAATACGCCTTTCGAAATGTGTGCCGTGCGGTACTTCAGTTCGTGCTGTCCTTCGAGAAGGTTGCAGTCAAGGTGGCGGAGAATATGAAGTGTGGCAATCCACACATGGCTGCGATTTGCTGCGGCTGATTGTCAGCATGCCTCATGCTGAATGGCGTTTATATAGTGCTTGAAGCATCTGATGTAGTAGTGACGCGCCGTTTATATGCTGCCAGGACGCGGGACAGACCATTTCCGCACACGCAGAACCTCGCTGTTCGCTTCAACCTGCTCAAGGCCACGCTCGATCAACACGACCCACATTCTCGGCTTTGCACCTCCTGCAAGCACACAACATCAGCTCCGGATCTGCGCACGACTCCAGCAATGCGCTCAAGATCGTAGACTCCGTCGCCGCCAACTCCAGAGTGGATGTTGTAAGTGAGGACGCCAACCATGCTCAGCGACAGCCATGAGCCGCTCGAGACACAGATGATGCGACAGGATAATGTCGAAGCGGTGATTTGCTGCTGTGGAGCTACATACTGTCAGCAACAACACAAGCCCGGGGTGGCTTGTAGGATGCTTGACATGACATGCATCGTCCCCCTTGAACCTGGATGCTTGCAAGCGACCTTCCTCTACAATCGTTCTTTGCGACAAGAGCACCCAACGAACTCTACGCTGCCGGGTCTTGCCAGCTGCTCAGGGCCAGGCTCGCCGCAGCCATCATCCTCCTCCTCCTGGCTTAGGAGACCGCGTGTTGACTCTCAGGGCGCCGAGCTTGAACGCCCTCGCCTGAGCAGATTACTCAGAATACGCATAATTAGAGTCCTCGTCCACCAATCCTTTGCCACGCCTGGCCTTGTCAGAAGAAACCCCGTTGTGCCATAGCTGGCATAGCTCAACCCGACGGATTTGCCAGCATTGCATGCAAAAGCGACCAGGAAATCGCTAAGTAGCAGGCACGCTGTGACCGGGGACCTCGAGCGGGCAAGCGGTCCGCTGTCTTTATCTTTCTCCGTACAACCGGAGGTCTCACGGCTCACGTCCGCTCATCTCTGAAACCAGGCGTAGGCGTGGACAACAACCAGGACTCTTGCTAGTTGATTGGGACTGCGAGGGCGACGGCGGCCTGGCGAGGATCATGGGTCGGGCCGTGAGAAAAAAATTCGTGTGAGAGCCCGTTCAAGGTGGCATATGAGCATCGCTTCACGGTACTTCCCACTTCCCGAACCATCAACGAGTCCTTGCCGTTTTGTCTCTCGCACTGCCTGCTCAGCTCATTTCCAGGAAGACCTCGTCACTTTGTGGCGCCGGGCACGGCCCGTTAAAACAAACTTGGTGATGCTGCCGCCCTTGGCTTCACATCAGCCTTAGACGGATCTTCGAACAGGAAACCCGGCGGATTCAGCAACATCCACTCCCACCGTCTGTGTCGTCCTGTTTGCGCCAAGCTGCGGTCCTTGTCTCCGAACCTCACTTGCCGCAGCGATGGATCCATGTGGAGCCCCGAGTCCCAAGGCTGGCACGGGCACTGCGGAGGGTCTGGAAGACGTGGCCCACCAGCTTTCCTGTCAGATCCAAACGCCGGGGCTGGGATCAAAGCCGCACTCTGCTGCAATTAGTAGAAAAACTCAGGCACGATCTTATGGAGCACTTCTTTCAGCCACTTCATCCGGCGGTTGCAGACCTGCAGCCGCAATATCCCGAAGCATGTTTCTGCAAGCGTATAGCGCTCAGGCACAAACTGCTTCACTGGAGCGGGTGTGCCAGTAGTTTGTGCCCTGACCGCGGTCCTGCTCGACGAAAAAGGACTGGCAAAGCGAAATTTGACAAGAGTATGCTGGCTTCAAGCATGCTTTGTCAGTCCATTGCTTCGTTGTACTCGTAGAAGCCCTGCCCAAGAACACATGAACAGCGATGCCATGCAGAGCAGACTTGTGACCGCAACCTTCTTGCAGCGCTCTTCAAAGTGGTAGTTGTGGGTCAGCTCGTCCAGCGAGATCTCACATGGCGCACCGTTATTGCTCTTTGGCTTCGGCTCCCCTGACCCCTAAATCCTACACCAAGAAAGGCTCCCCAGCCATAAACCCCAAGCCCTAAGCGCTCAAGAAAGAAAGAAAGGCTCCCCAACACGGCAGCAACGCGACAGCGGCGCCTCACCAGCGTACTCCCGTCGCCAGGTGCAGGTTTTGGACCAGGGCTCACCCTGCCTCGGCCGAACTCTTTCGGACTGATATGCAGCAACTGCCGCAAGCGTTTGGGACTGCACGTGTAGGGATTTTTGACGCTCACTCTGGGACAACACCTCTAGGGATTTCGGGTTTTCTCTCACCCGCTCACGGGGTTTCGGGCTTCGGGTTTTTGAGTTGGCTTTTTGTGGCAGAACAGCTTCGGAACAACGTCCACCATCACTGTCTACAAGTCTACGAGACTGGTCAGGCGAGTGTTGAGTTTCGCTGCACTTCAAACTTTCCGGCCACGGCGCCCAAAACTGTGATTCTGGTCTCTGTTTTCTTCTACGGGCTCTTGTCACTCTTGTTAAACGGCACTTCTGTAAGCTGTCTACTCATGTTGACACGGTACTAAATCCTCACAGCACTGCCATGCAGTCGACCTGCTTGTTGCGCAGTAGCTAAGGCCTTTAAAGCCCTTGGGCTCGCTCCAAAGCTCTTGCCAAGCAGCTTGCAAAGTCCCCCCTTCTCCTGAAGGCGACACTATCGAAGACGGGGTCTGCCGCGGCAAACGCAAAGTTTTTCTGCACATCCCCACTACTACCCATCCAAGTTCTCTTCTACCGCAAGATCCGTCTCCTGGCAGCTGGCTTTTTGCTGGAATGTCTTGGAAGGACAATCGCCAGGAAAGCTGTACCAGGTGGCCTCGCAAGATATCTCAAGGCTCGGCTCAAGCAAAGCAACAACCACTCCGCGCATCTCAGCAGACGCCCAGCCTGTCTGTAAGCAGCGTGGTGGTGATTCGGTCGGTCACAGCCGACAACAAATCCATACCTGATTACTCGCGCGACATCAACATGCAGACATAAGTTCGACTGTCTCGCGGAGCCCTGAAGTGAACCAAGGCTCTTCTGGTACTCATCCAAGCTTTGCTGAGGACCAGTGCAAGCACCGCTGTCAAAGTGGCCTCGGTGCCAGAAACCGGGGTTCAGGAACACAGTCACTGTCATCTCTGGGCAAGCAAACTCACACCTATACCCATCACCCATCACCCGGTCACCCGGCAGGGTTGGGGATAAGAAGCACGCAGAGATGTGCGAAGGGATGGCCCGTCCGCTCGAGCTCCGGAGTCGGCTTCATGGTGATCTCACGAGCTCAGCATCCGCAAACAAGAAGGTCACGCTCAGATTAGAAGCAGACCTTGTAGCGAAGAATGCGGACAATCCCAAATTTGCGAGGACAATGTCCAACAACTTCGCTGTGCAGATACCACCTCAGCAGATGACTGCCACAAAAGCCCCGTACCAACAGCAGCTCAAGCCGGTCCAATATGTGGCAAGTCGCATCACACCCGGAAGGTTGGCCATGTTGACATTCCTTGGCTGGGCTCAGTCGTACTATCACGCCTGAGACGCCCAAGAACTGTAGCACGTGCTTGCTACCGCGTGTCGTGTCCTCGTAGTTCTTGTCATTCTTCGCACGATACGCATAGAATGAACTTAGCATCAGGACCACGGCCACCCACTGCATGTGTACATCACGTCATTGTCTCAGGAACCCGCTATTCACCACCGGTCTGATTGGCCACCTCCACACGGGTGAAAGGCTGTGGCCCTCTCCACGGGATGCAGCGGGACGTGGGATCAGCGAGAAGGCCAGGCATGCCAGGCCTCCATGGCCTCCTCCTCGTCAAAGTCTGCGCCCGCCAAAAAGTCTTCGAGCTCCAACTGCTCCAGGCCCTGACCACGAAGCTGCCTGCGGGGATTTCATGTCACCGTTTTATTTTCTTCAGCAATCCGGCTCAAAGACATGGCGGAGGATTTGAATCAACTTCCCTCATCTTTTGTGAAACGATCTGTTGGCCGCACTGCTGAAGTCCAAAGAGAACCGAAGATGCGCTTTTGTGCAAAAAAGCTGAGCGCCTCAACGACAAACCACAGGAGTCATTGTGAGCATCGCACTCGTCCTGAGCAGGAAGCAGATGTGTACCTGATTTTCCCCGAGGCAACGCAGAAGTAAACGGCAAGTCTGTTTGCGCGCTCTTGCACTTTACGTGAAGTCTGGTTCACCCGTGTGTCATGCTGACATGCACGGGATCCCGGTGAAAAACTGCAGAAAGCCAATGTCTGAAATGAGACTCTAGTCAGGTCGGTGTAGCCTGGCAGCTTCTACAGTAGCCAAAAGCTGGCCCTACTTTGACTGTCCGGCTTCCTGGACCTACAAGGTGTGAGAGGGTGCCGTTTCTTGGATGAACGAGTAACTCAGGCACCTACCTCTTACATCAAAACTCCGAGTTCCCTGGGGAGGACCAAATCGGCATGCATGTGCAGCAGTGTATCCATGTAGAGATGTCGTCTTAGAATTGAATTGGAGGCCGTCCCGTCCCCAGAGAGCTTGGCTTGGTGCAGCGGACTGCGACGGGCATGCCGCACTGGACCAATGATCAGAACACCGGCTTCGAAGTGATAACCAGATCCGCGAATGAATCCTAAAGGCTTGCTTCGCAGACAAACGGATGAGCCGTCGTTCTGGTGGCTTTGAACAGGTCTTGCAAAGATGGCGACAATCACTTCAATTGCTTGCTGGGCAATCGCTGCTCCAGAAGCTGCTTCTGCGTTTTCTCGTCAACATCAAGAGCTTGAGGTCGCCTGGAGCAGGCGCTCTTCACAACGTTCACGCCTTGCGCTAATCGCTCGCAGCTTCGCCAAGCCACTGGTAGGGCTCGGCACCCGGTCGGAGATCTTCCGGCACCTTGTCACATAAAGTAGAGATTGTGCACATCTTCTGAAAGGCAAGGCACGCAAGGGAACACCATGACATAAGAGGCCACTCGGCCACGCCTCAGCCCAGTTTGCGCGAGGACCTTCTGGCCAGTTGCCGTACGGATTGACGCCAAGGACCTGTGTCACCTGCATGGCATCTCGCTTTGCCTTCCATTTTCCAGGTTCTTTGTGCAAACCGAGAAAAGGCTCGTGTTTTCAAGGTGTGGCACCCAGAAGATGCCAATGATGCCACTGAAGAGATAAATGGCAATCCTTGCTACAGCCAGCGGAGTTGTGTTGCCTAGGCGCCTTAGCAGCCTCAGCAAAGCAACGTGCATCTAGCTCTCACCCTCTTCTTGCTTCCATGGCTCTTCAAAGGATTGGAGAGAGGATCCATATCCTGAATTCTCGTAACTTTGCCAGCTGGTGCCTCACACCCTTCAATGCAGTGCTTGGGGGGTCCTCCTCCGGATCGGGGTTCCACTCGCCTCGCTCTGGCGAGTCGTCCCGGTCGTCCATGACCCAGATGTCCTGGGCTTCAAGCGCGCGGCTCACCCAAAGCCTGCGTTTTGCACACTCCCTGGTTTCACTGGGCTCGCAGCGGTAAGGTCCAAGCCCTCGAGGAAAACACCGTCTTCTGGGCAGCAGGAGTGGTGTATGCAAAACTCGACGGGAACACAAGCGCCAGGCTCCAGAGAAGGTCTCCGCCCGCGCGGATCTCCTGCGCATCTGGAGGGATCCCGGTGACCTGCATCCGCCATGGCAATGACTTTTGGCGAAGGCTGAGAGACTCCCGGACTCCCTCCTCAGGCCTTCTCGATGACTGTCCTCAGGTCCTTCACCTTGTCGCCGCGATTGAACTGGACTTCGAAGGACAGCTGGCCAGGCTGATTCACCCAAAAGTTGCCTCAGCAGATGCCATCTGACACCACAAAGCTTCCGTTCGACGCCCTGTCAGACATGCGGCCCAAGTCTTCGCCCATTGGCGCATCCTGGAAGTCTAGACCAGTGACCAAAGCCACGTCATGCACTCACACGAGTCGTCCCCTGCTGCCCCCGTCCTGCTGCGCAGCAGCCTCAATTGCCTCGAGGGTCGCTGCCTTCTTCTCCGCCCGCAGCTGTTCACTCGGCAGCAAGCAAGGCATGCTCTTGTAGATATGCGCCGCACACGTCATGTGAGAGCTTCGTGCCAGGTTGCGACTCGGTCATCACAGCACTTTCAGTCTCGGCATTTCGTCGAAGTGCCGTCTGCCTCTTTGCACCTGCTTGTTTCAAAAATTGAACACATCAGCACTGCTCTGGTTCCATCCTCTGGCGGCAGACCTGGTGTCCCTGTGAAGGCGAGCTGTTGGAAAAGAAGCAGAAGGCCAGCTCCCAAGACAAACCTCCGGGGAAACCCCAAAGATCCTGTTCTGTCGACATGACGAAGTCTTGGAGCTGATTGCTACCATGACACAGCGACCGGAAAGGAGTTCTTCCCTGAGCCATCTCTCCTGCAACAAGCATTTGGAGGCGCAAGCCCCAATTGGATGACTTTGGCTGAAGCATTCCGATACCAAGCTTCTAATATATGCCGAGCATCAAGTTCTGTGCAGGTGCGGCTGGGCTCACCCAGGATATGTTTGTGGACACGCACGGCTGGAGACGGCTGCGGAGAAACGGCAAGGACAAGAACATGTGATCGGCGCTCTGGAAACCACGGAACGCTCACCACAGCGATTCGCAACGTCCTCCGGCCATGGTTGAGAGGGGACATCCTGCACTGGAGCCGCCTGAGACAATGTTGAAAGTTTCTTGCATCTGGCCATGCCAACAAAAGGGATTGAGTAGTTGAGACATGCTGAGACCACATCACGGCCCTGAAGGGGCCGAGAGAGCTGCCAACCGAGCTCCAAGCTCTGCTGAGGCAGAAGGCTATCAGCCACACGGAGAACCTTCGCGAGTTAGCGCCGGGAAAATCCAAGCCTCTCGCAGAAGTAGACGACCTTGGACTTGGGCCAAGGCCTCATGGGCTGTAGAAACCTCAGTACATCAAGTAAGACTCCAACAACTCTCGAAACAAAAGGAGCAAGTAATCGTCGATGTACATGCAGCCGAGGCACACTGTCGGAATGTGCACGGCAAAAGAGAGGTAGAGTTCTCGATCCGAAACACAAACAAGTGCAGTTTGTCCAACGAGAGTATACAAATGTTAAGAACTTGCCCGAACTACCGCGTGACTCTCAGCACAACAATGTCTCTCCGAGGCCTCGCAGCCAAGAATCCCGACTCCGGGACCCCTAGAGTGCCCTTGACCTCGGCGCAAGGGCATTCGACATGTTTTTCACATATCAAACACTGCCGTGAAGGCAAAGAACAATTGCTCGCAGCCGGCCACAATTTTGACATCGCGGCTGCAGCAAGAGGTCTGCAAAGCAGCGGCGGCGGCTAAGCTGCTATATCCGGCGTCTCTTTGGCTCGCTTTCTGCGGCGTCAGCGCTGTAGTCGTCTGCTTCCACAGAGCTGTAGCCTGGGAGGATGGACGAGTACAAAGCCCTGGCACAGTGAATCCAGATGGAATGATTAGGCTTCGTGAGCTCGTGCTGCAAAAACAATGAATGCCCCTGCGACAGGCCCTGCAAAGCCTCCAAGAAAAACCCTGCTGAAGGAAGTGAGGTGCGGTGTTTCTTCAGGTGCACAGCCAGCTGCGCAACGAGCTCAGGTGAGGCGGCCGCCAGCACTCGACCTCGTAACATGCTATGTGGTTCGGTTTTGGTAATGTTGACCAGCAGCAATTGTCGACGCCATCTCCGTATTACAAAGACCAAGCGGGATAGAACGTGAAAAATGATAGAAGTCATGATGCTTGTCAGATCAGTGTCTCCATTACTGTATCTGTACCACAACCCCAGAAGCACTAGTCACTAGTTTCGTTTGTGGTGTGATCCTGCAAAAGACGTGGTAAAAAGAAACTTGGCTGAATTACGAGCTAGGAACACAACGCAAGCGACAATTGCATGAGAACGAGCATAGACCACTGAGTAAACAGCAAGCAACTCACCAGTCCGTCTGACTCAAGCCACTAGTTGTAATTGGCAATGCTGACAGGAACAAGAAAGGGCCTTCAGCCGGCGTAGGCGCCCGCAATCGGCAGCATGCATTAAGTCATCAAGTTGGCTCTGCAGTGAGAGATTGCTCAGGTCCAGCATTCGTCATCACCAACACTATTTCAAAGCTGCTATCTGCCGGTGCCCAACAGCACTATCATTTGCATGTGCGCGAATGCAGACATAATGTCATAATACAAAAGTTGTCAATACCAACTCAGTCGGCATGAAGTCGTACTAGCAGCAGCAGCCTCCGCAGTATAACCGACAGCACATGTTGTCGTTGTCGCATGACAGAGGCAGCATCAGTAGGAGCAAAGAGAGCAACCCTTGGCAACCATGGCTCTCGGAACCACGATAAATTAGAGCGGTTAATGTTAATCATGCCGTTACCATCTGCATCCGGATGCTTGTCGCTGGGGGTAGTGCTGGCATGGCTCATACACCCACTCAAGCTACGCACCAGTATTGTCCTAAAGGCGTCATGTTAAGCCAAAAAGCGGGAGGCCAAGTCAAAGGGGCCACCGAGCGTGTCACAGCAAACACCGCCAGCTTCTTCCACGATGACTTGACCGGCACAAACATCCCAGGGATAGATGCCTACCTGGCTCGGTGTAAAACATGCAGCAACCTCTGCACCGCAGCTCACAAGAAGAGGTGTGACCTGCCTCGAAGTAGACATCCAAACGACCCCGTGCCACATGCATCATATCAACTCCCGCAGAGCCACCGCAGCGCATGGCCCTGATTGGATGGGCCAACAAGTCGCGGCTGATGCCTGAAACTTTGGCAGGCGTGTGCGCAACACGGACTTGGAGCACCCCCTACCCAGCAAAGCATATCCGAGGCGAGAACCTGCGCGTCCATGTCCGCCACAATTCTATCACTTAATCAACTTCATGTCAAAGCTTCTTGGACAATGAACGATACCCGCAATTGGTTGCGTGGCTGTGGTTGCTAGCTTCTGTTCGGGCCTTTGTGTCTGGTTCCTGGTGCAGCAAACACATGCTGCTTTCGCCGGGTGGCCCAAAATTCGATCCACCACTTTGGGCCCACGGGAATATGAAGGCATGTGCAAATTGACCAACGCACGTGTGAGGTCCTGCATTTTCAGCGTTCAGCACCAATGTTTGTGTGCACAGTCATGCAAAGGACAGTCTCCAGTGACTGCCCAGTCCTTGCAGCCGCTAGACACGATGCGTCGTCCATTGCAGTATGCGCCACGACCCCTGACGGCCGTGTATAACCTGGAAATGAGGCCATCAAACGCAATCTTCCACCGTATGTCAGGATGTACTACCGGGGCTCCTTAACGTAAGTCAAGCAAGGCTCTCATCCAACTTCGGGATGAAGCAAACACCAAGCACCGCCCGCTTCTTCACCGCCAGACCGATAAGAACGCAGCACTCGACCTCAGACTTCGAGGCGAAGCAATGCGTCAGAGCCCAGCGCCCAGCGCCGGGCCTGTCGGTGGATGAAGTTGGTTGTGCCGTCGATTGGATCAACGATCCATGTAGGCGCATCTGTCAATGCCTATTCAGAGTCAGACACGAGGTCACGACAAGCCAAGCGCAGCAAGCACAAGCTGATTTGGCTGCGCGGCTCCTCCTTGTTGGCCGTCTCTTCGGCAAGGACACGGAACTCGGGTGCAGCGGTCCTTCGGCCCGAGGAGAGAATGGAAACGGAAACACCTTTCGCAAGGCTACGGCTACAGACACAGACCGTGCTTACAAAAGCGTGGCCTCAGTCGCTTCAGGACAAGTTCTTCCACTTGTCGGTCGTACTTGGTCACCAAGTCGACCGGTGTGGATTTCTCCTTCCAGTACACCGTGTGCAAATTGACCCAAGGTGACTAGAACGGCTACAAACCTTCGTTCACGCGGCTTCTGAGCTCCGTGACCAGCAGACTCCCCATCTTCCTGTGGATGCTCTCTCTACTTATCTGTCTGCCTGTCCATCTGTCCACACCCATCTATCCACCTACCTGCCTGCCTGCTACACCTAGTTTCTTTCCTGCATACAGGCCTACCTGCTACAAGCTACCCGCCTGCATGCCTACTGTACCTGCCTGAATACCAGCCAACTTAGGCAAACCTACGGACATGCATGTGTATGTACATTATGTACATACATGCACATATACATAATTACTAATTACATAATCACATACTCATACACCTACACACATAGACACGTATAGAACCTATGCACATACATAGATAGGCATATGTATATATATCTATACACAAATAGGTAGATATAGATCCGCACATTACACACACACACATAAACAAACACATGCACCATGCACATACACGTGCACCATGCACATACACTGACTTACACCTACACCCGAGCCTACATCTACTTAGGTCTGCATGAATTTGTGCGTTAAGCAACAACTCCATAACGATAACTAAATCTATATCCGTATATAAATATGTGTATATATACACACATAGACCATAGAGATGGAGAAATTTCAATTTAATTAACTAGTTACACGTCCATACATACATACATACATACACAGGCCCTCAGAACCTCGCGTCCTCCACACTTTGCTGGGCGTCATTGCGAGAGAAGCACTCAAGCATCAAATTGCCGGCTTCCTGCGCGGCAGACACCTGGCAAAACGTACTGAATCCCAAAACACCCGCATGCTCTGCAACGGTGGCTCTCTGCGACAGTGACTCCACTACTTATAGGACTGTAGGACTGCTGGCAGGGGCACCGATTCATCCAGATACCGCGAGAGATCCTCTTCCGAAAGTGCCACCATGGCAAAACGAGGTACGGGCCCTGCACGTGGGCACGCTGCCCCTGACGCACGCAGAGGGTACTTGTTGTTTGCTGGAGCTTGCTCTGACGTTTGGTCGGCTTGCCCGAAGCTGGCGACTGGAGCCAAACACACGGCTGGTGAAGGGTGGCAAACCAGAAGAGAAAGGAGGAAGCCGACAGAAAATAATAACCAGGCAGTTCCAAAACCTTTAATTCAAGGGCTTGGCGGGGGAGTGCTCCTTGGATGCGACACCTGGCACGGAAAAAACTGACGTATAGCTGCATGGTGCTCTCTCTACTACAATTTGGCCCAAATAAAACACAGGGCCTGCTGGGCCAATTCCTTTGCTGGCCATTTGGTGGCTATGTGAACTCCCGAACCTTGCTAGAAGGTCACGATAGCAGCTCAAGACAAGCATTCCACGGTTTGGACGACCAACTACGGAAGCGGCGTGTACTCCTTGCTGGCACTGGAACCGAAAGTATCCTGGAAGCAATCAGGGCTTCAAATCGGCAGCAGCAACTTTCTGCCAAATTGGCAGCAGCCCGACGTTGCCTCAAGGCTTTCTGCCCCGCTGCCAGCCTGCCAACGAAATCCGTTCACGCGTGCCCGAAGCGTTTCCTAGCACCCTTGTGCCAGAAGGTTCAGTTCAGCCGCTGACACTTGTGCTGCTCTCTGCTGATGCACCTCCCTCAGCCAGGCATAACCGTGCATTGCACCGGCCACTCAAATCAGATCTCCAGAAGTAACACCTACGTTGTGGCCCCGGCTGCAGCGCCACCAGCTGCGCCAGTGTTACCGTCTGCTGCTGGTTTTGCCGTGCTGCTAGAAATGCCTGCGACCAATACAAATTCTGGCGCCCGGCAGCCGGGGGACAGGCTGATTAGCAGGCTCTGCTCTCGCATCACGGCATGACGGAAGTGTTGCCGATTCAACTGCAACATTTTTGGAGGCTACCTGCCTGGCTTTGCACTTGAACTTAAGTTCCAGCCTTCTTTGCTCGTTGCCTGGGCCTCCCGGACAGACTGGTGAGCAAAACCCTTAAATGCATATCACGGACGAACAACATCCGGCAGCGTCTTGAGGCGGTTTGGCCTCATCACTGTGACGAGGCCCTTCAGCCGATAATTCTTCTCTGGCGGACCTGTAGACCGTAACTCCATCGCTTCGTCGGTCTCAAAGTCGTGTGCATTCTAAGAAGCAGGCCCTTGCCCTTCCTCAGCCGTTTGTGCCGACATCCATCGAGGCCTCCAGCGCAGGCAACACCAAATACAAAGCCAGAGTTGCTTTGGACGGAAGCCGAAAAGCCCGTTTGTGCAGGCTTCAGTCAGTGAAGGACCCGAACGACCCGAGATCGAGAAATCTTTACGTTGCCTGCTTTTGCTGCACAGTATTTAGAGTTCCGCCTGCAGGGTTTGCGGCTCTGCGCCGTACCCCGCCGTGCTCTGAGCCAGCAGATGCGGCAGGAACGACTGACTGGCCCCTCCAATTCAGCACGCGCTGAAGACTGCGTCACTGATTCAGACGCTTTTCCAAGGAAGAATCAAAACATCATATGCCAAGTTCAACGACTCTTACACTCTAGCTCAGCATGTATCCTTACATATCCAGCAACTCCACATCAGCCTAGCCTTGAGCGAGCACTTCACTTGGCCTTGTGTGCTTTTACATCGATGGATAAACGAGGAGCGCCCAGTCACGGCAGCACGGGCAGCATAATGCGCCTGGCACGCTTGACAATTCCCTCAGCCGCTTCCTGAACTTGAACCACACACACACACACACACCGAGGCTTCTTGCAGAACATCCGGGTCGAGGCACTTCTTCATTGGAAGCTTCAACATGCTGGATCGATCCGGGCCGACTCCAACCTCCCAATTCACACGTTTCTGTCCCGTAACGAGTTCCAAAGACAAACGAGAAGCAAGCCAAGCCACCCAGGAAACCGGAATGCCCAACAGTTCTTGGATCCTGCGATGTGTTTCGAAGCGCTCGACTTCCCAAAGAGTCGTCAGTCTTGATGGACCGCGGCCTGAGGACATACTTTTTGGCGTTCTCTGGAAGATCCTCCCATCTGGTGCACTTGGAAATATCTTCCGACCAGCCCTGGAGAGTTTCCTGCAGGACGCGACACAGCACCGGAAAGATAAAGCTGACGAGTAAGAGGCCAAGCCACGTACTCACAGACGACTTCCTGACCAGACAGGTGCAATGCACACTTGTCTGGCAGGAAACACTCAACACAGCCACAACTACGATTTGCCTTGAGATCATCCAAGTGTGAAGGAAAGTATCCGGATGGCAGGCGTACTTCAGTCATGCGTCTGTTCCTGCGTTGTTGGGCAAAAAGGGGTGAAGTGTCCATGCGCTAATGTGAATCTGGCCTGTAGGCGATAGCAACCCGAATCTGCTTGAGACCAGTGAGAACATCCAGCTTGGTAATGTTGAGACTGTCCTTTGGCAGACGGGCTGCACTGGCTTTCCGACAGCCCCACACGGTGCAACCCAGTGTCAAAGCCGTTAACCATGGCCGAATACTTGACTAAAGCCTCGGGAATCGCAGCATCTGAAGGCAGGCACATGTGCTGCAGGAAAGCTGGGGCGAAGTGCCAAATCCAGCCAACCGCACCTCCGCCTTCGGCCGGTGGTGGTCCCGTATTCTGCGCCCACCTCCTGTAGCATCATGCCAACCTGCGAGTGCTTTCAGAGTGGATGGAACAAATTCCTGCACCGGCTCGTGCCTTCACCGGCTGGCCAGACTTCAGGTCGAAGGGGCCACCTGGGTAGAAAGGGAAGCGCAGCGTCGCTCAAGTGCTGCTCACCCTGCCTGCATGGCCCTTGCGTTCGTACCTGGCATCTGGGCCAATGTAGGTTTCAGTGTAGTCCTGTCAGAGCAAAGGCTTACAAGGCCAATGGCAGCATTGCAGAGCTTCGCAGCTGCAGTGCCTCCAGAGACTGCATCTCGTTCTGTAACTCTGTTGGGAAAGGTCCGTGCCCAACTCGAGTTGTGTAGGCCTTAACCTTCCACAAGACTGCTACAGTGTGCATCCAGAACACATGCAAGCTCGAGGCCAATGCCACTCCAATGACCGTATCCACCGCTTTTGGCGGCACCCCCAGTCCTGCAGCAACCCGCTTCGCTGCATGAAGCCCTCGCACATTGGACACCAGAAGTGGGAAGTGGACGGCAGTCCTGTGCACACGCTTCCAACCGTTGTGTTGGATGATGTGACGAACGGGTAAGTGCCTTGTTTCCAATAGCGCCCACAGAACTGAAAGAATGAAGCTTGCCAGGCGCAGAGTGCAAGGCAAGCTCGAACATGCGCTGGCACTTCCAGCTGGTCTTTTTCCACAGATAGCATGGCTGACAAACATGCCACGGTTGGCCAGTCGAAGTTCGAGCTTAAAGGAATCGGATGGTGCTCTTCGGATGCACTCGAAGTCCTCAGGCTTCATCGGCCGGCACCCTCCACTTTGCCAAGAAATTATCCTTGTCATTGTCCTTGACGCGGCACCAGACACAGTGGAAGAAGAAGGCCAGGGTCGGGTACATCATGATGTAACGGTAGAAGTCTTCGTGCGACTTGTCCAACATCCCACCGTAGTAGCTCGTATCGATGTAGTACCTCCAACGGTTCTTCGTGGGATCAATGTGCAACTCCGGCATGCCCATCATGCACATTTTCTGGTAGTCCCAGTTGCGCTCAATCCAACGGATCCAGTGGCGGCCTGGGACTCGGCGCAACCACACGATCGTTGAACGAAGCCACAAGTAGACGGGGCCGCCCTTGAAAGGTGACATGACGGTTTCCTCCACACGGCCATAGACCAAGGGATAAGCCTGACTCGGGGGCTCAACGGTCTTGGGCACCTGCGCCGCGAAGAGGCGCCGGCCAGCAACGAGGTTCCGCTTTGCGAAATTGAGAAGGCCCATCGCGTGCCACGTTCCGTCGCGGATCGCGACTGCAGTACGACAAGGCCAGCACAGGCCAGGCTGACACTCGAGCCGATAGGCCGATAGCACAGCAACGCACGCGAACAACATCTGCGGCCATCAACTCTTCCCACAAATCAAGGCGATGCGAACTGCACCGAAAAAGCTGCCGCAGCCAAGATGCCAAAGTCGATATCGAGCAGGGCTGCATTGGCACCCTCTACCAAGACCTATGCACGAAAGCAGCCACGTGACATCCAACAGTATCGACTTCTCGGGCCTTGCAGCCCTGCACTATGTCTTGGTGCATGAACGTGACCGAATCCACGATTTGCGTTCGTAACATATCAGCATACCTCGGGCAAGGAACGGCGAAACATTATGACAGCCAACAAACAACATCGGGCCATGGGCTTAATTAGTCAGATGCCACACGAGTTGCTTCCGGTATCTCTCGATCTCCTCGTCAATGTTCCCGACTCCACCCTTCTGCCCTTGCTCCGGGTCAAACGCATACCTCAGGCGCATGCCGCGGAATGTCAATAGAAGCCGGCTTAAGGCTTGAGGCCGCGGACCGGGTGTTGTACTCCCGGAGAGCTTGGCGCAGCTGAAGCTGCGCAGGAGAGTCCTTGAATTCAAGATCACATGGAGGGCTTGAGGAAACCGAAGCTTACCTCAACGCCTTGTCACGAGGATGGCTGTAGCGCTTTTGGGACCAGGCCTTGGATCCCAAAGCACCACACAACACATTGCGAGTCTTATGACACTACTCCCTCGTCCTCAAGACACGCACAACTCCAAACTTTCAGAATTGTGCCCTTTTCCCTGCTTGTTCGCGGAGCCACGCACGGCTTTTCCGCTAGCCGCATGCCTACCAAGGCTCCTGTCAATCTACAATTGCCCCAAATGTGACATGCTCGGGGCAACCTGAATTCCTTCAAGAGACTACGATTAGAGCGGATGCTCCTTCGACGTGCATTTGTCGGGACTTGAGCTCTCTCTGTCGCTCGTCAGATACAGTAGTCATGGTAAGCCTCTGCTTCCACCATACGCAGCAAAAGCTGCAAGCTTCCGGCACCACGTGGGAGCCCTCACGTAAAGTGGGACTCGGATCCGAGCAGCCAATGCTCCTGTTCTGCCTGCTGCTCAGTTACAAATTTTGTTCGGTCCGTGGACATGCGACCGTGCTCTACACGGGCCTGCTCCAAGCTCAAGAACTCTTCCTCCTGGACGAGCTCCCAAAGTGGATCCACAATCTGCAGGCCTCACGTCGTCCATAACAACTCAAGCACTCTGGGTCTTTTGTAGGCAGCTAAGGCCTGGCAACGTGAGGGGCTCCGTCCCCCGCTTGACTTGCGCATCTCGAAAAGCATCGAAGCCGGAGCGCTCAAAGTCGGCTTCCTGGCATTTGCGTTCGGCTGGAAACGCTCTACTTCGAGTTTCTTGCCGAGGGTGTCCCGACCTTGAAGTGCACTGCTTCCACAAGGCCGACGTCGTTGCAGAGGACATTTCTGAGAGCTTCCTGTTCAGGGCTTCTGCATGGCTGTGCTGGCTGCGCTGGTCACAAGCAAAGCTCTCCTGCTGTCGGCGAGCACGAGAGGCTACCACGGACCACCAGGCTGCTGTCTGAACCGGTGGCATGCTCCGAAACCTTCTGAGGCCCTGGATTGCGGCCTCAAGTCTGCACACAAGGGCCGTTGATATGAGTGTACTTTCCACATCCTGGCTCCTCTCTGAACTGTGCCGGGCGTCTTCTTCCGTCTGTTCTGTGCAACATGCTGGCGCCTGACAGACTTTGAGCCACAAATGCTGCTCCTGCAGTGACGGCGCTCCCCGACCTCCCACTCCAGAAAAATGGCCGCGGGATGCGGCAAATGGGCTTTGGCAAACCCGAGCTCGGCAAGCAACGATCTCGACTCCACGTCGCCTGCCGGATCAGCATCATGCACATGGAACTCTGCAAGACTTGGGTCGGATCCTGCGAAGCGACTCGGCAAGTTTCTGGCCATCCTATTGAGCATACAGCGATTCCTCGAGGAACGAATCGTTGGGCAAGAAGGCGTGCCTGCGAATGGTAGGTCTGCCATTCGCTTGCAGATGAGCTCGTCCAAAGTAGAGCCGAGACGTTGCTTGAACTCATCGGTGCCTGAGAGTGGACCTGCGAGCCAGGTGGCGAAATCTACGTTGCAGATAACAAGATGTACGCAAAGTCAGATCTGAGTCAAGTCACGAACTCTCCAAGCCAACAGTTGAGAAGTGACCTGTCGTCCGGAATAGTAAACGCCGTCATCCACAAATGCAGAGAAATGGCCTCGTCCGCCGATAGTGCTTCCCATTGCTGCTTCAACTTTTCATCTGCCCGCAGAAGCTGGTGCCTGCTTGTCCGTGTCTTGTGTAGCTTTCTTTGGTTAAGCATCTAGACTCTAAACGATCTTGACATCCGACTTCTTGGCCCACAAATTCGCTTGCTAACACGAATCAGGACAAGCAGCTCCAACCATTTCCGCTTCACCGACAACATCGGCGCGTTGGCACTGGCATGTCTGCCTTGCAGCTTTCAGGGCACTTGAGGACCCAAACCTGTTGCCATCAAGCTTCACTGCCATGCCGTTACCGAACAGAGCAATCGTCAAGCTGATGCACCGTGACATCGCGAGATATTGCAAGAGTTTGCTTCGTGCCTGTAGGCTTCGGAGCAGGACCCCTGCCTGGCGACTCTTCGGCCCTGCCATCGACGATTTGGTGACAGATTGCTGCTGTCATCACAGGCCGTGCAAAAGCACGTGGGGTCCTTTCCGAAGCCGCCCGAGCCGCGGCCGCGCGGCTGCAGTACTCTGCTTGCTCGTGCCGTGGCAGTGCCCGCCACCGAGCTGCGGCATCCTCTGTTTGAGAACCGTGGCCATGCTGCAACAGTGCGAGATCATGCAACTGCCGCCCCAGGCACCTTGGCAATCTCGCTGAAGTTTGACGGGACTACGCCACCAGGGCTGTTTTGCCCACCTTGCTCTCTCCGAACTTTGGCGAAGTGCTCGTTCACGAACAGAAGGTATCCTTGCCAACTGTCGTCGGATCCAGAAGTCACAACGGAGGTTCATTTACGGAGCAGCCAATATCCTCCGAGGGGCCCGAGGCCGGCGCTCGCTTGCGCTTCAAAGTGCCCCTGTCCGGACGCTCAGAGGCCTGCTGCAGCAGCAGGCGGGTGCGCAGCAGGCAACGCGCGTGGCTTTTGGCTTTTGGCCATGCTGTGGACTGTAGACGCTTGGGCCTCCATGCCTTTGGTGCTCCGGGATTTCACGGCTGTCTCGCGTCCATCATCGGTTTTGGCTGTGAATGCCTCGGACATGAGACCTCCCCCTCCTGCTAATGCTAGAAAGAACAACCATTCAGCATCAAGTGATTAAACTCTGCAATGCCGCCTGCAATGGAAGAGCACTATTGCTGACCGGACAACGTCCAAGCTCTTGCTGGAGAAGTTGCTGCACCTTGGCTGGAGAACCATTCCACAGCTGCAGTGCCATTCAAAACGGAAACCTGCTGCTCAGCCGCTGTGGGCAACTCTGCATCGTCTGCTGCCCACTCCCATCGCCGTCCTTCTCGAGCACGGATTTTGCCTTGCTGCATGAGCCGGCGTAGCACCTTGTGCACCTTGCCGCATCTAAAGCGACAGCTGTTCCATGGTGGTCGAAGAGGGTGTCTTCCCGCCCTGCCTTCGACAGATCTGATGGTACGTCCAAGCCGCATTGGGAAAGCAAACTCCTGCAAACACACGGACAGATCAGGATCCTATGCCGATGCTCAACGCAACAAAAGACAACGTGCAAGGCTCTTCCGCTAGTCGTACGCCTCAGCGAAACCACAGCGGCTGCAGCATCGAGTGCCATAGCATTCCCTGGCGATTGCCTTCCTACCCTATGGATGATGCACGGGACGTGCAATGCTTCGATTGGAGCAGATGCCACGCAAATCAAAACAGAGCCATGCACACCAGAAAAACCATGGCTGGGTACAAACCAGATAGTTGCCGCCAAAACACGGTAAGATCTCGCACTTTGCGCTCAAACTCATCGAAGTGCAACAAATCTCCGAAGCGAACGCCGTTGCCTGCTATCGAACACGCCACATAATGCATGTGAAAATCTTGGCTTGGATCAAAACACGAACAGGATTGCGGATGGCTTTCGAAGAGTAGCAAGGACCGATGCCACGCTTCCTCGGATCCAAGCTTAAGCTTGCTGGCACCAGAGTGACCTAGCACCAGAACTTGCATCCAAGCTGTTATGTGCTGGAGGCACCGCTAAACCTGTCAAGGAGCGTGGTTCCAATTGAATCTGACCCTTGCTCGGCTTCTAGGATTCCATCAATGATCTGATGGCTGTCGAGCAGAATGTGAGCCCCTGGTCACGCCACAGTTCTGCATGGGAGTCACAAGACTTAAGCACAGCAGCGGCGTTGAGGCCCGCTCGGGTCGAAATGAAAACTCGTTCAACGGCTTGCGGATCAAACTCCTGATTTTCGCGAACGAGGCTTTCAAGTCCAGCATGGTGCAGCTGTCAAGGATGCGGGCACTGCTCTGCTGCTGCATGAAAAGCCCGATTGCATCCTTCAGTGCTTCCAACTCCTTCATCAAAGTGGGGATGTGCCTCGGGGTTTCTGCAACTCAGCACCGCAACTTTGACCCATGAAGCTGTTGCGCACTCCGCACTGCAGGTTTTTAACGAAGCCATGTTTGCCCTTCTCCAAACAGCCTTACTGTCGCCGTCCTCGATTCTGAAGGGTCGGGTCAAGTTAAAATCTGCCCCAGTGATTGTTCTGCTATGCTGCTCTCTCATTGCATTACCGCATTTACCGTGGTGGCAATGGAATGTAATCCCCGTGGCCTGCCTGCCCCTACGTTAGGCTTCAACGTTTGGCGAGAATCGGTTGCATAGTTGCCAGGTACAAGTGTGCTGTGCATATCCACTGGCATAATAATACGCATGCTATCTTCGCGAACCCATTTTGGGGACAGCGTGCTCGTTCCCGCACTGTATTGAATGGTGTCGCAACAAGTTCGGGGGGCATGGCGGAGCACAGCCACGCCAGATACCAGCCCTCTAAATAACGGCAGAGCAACGGTATCTGCTCCGCCGGTCTCTGCGCTTGGGCCTGGGTTTGTGTTTGTATTTCTTGTTTCACACCTTCATTCGTGATTTGTGTAACGCACGAACATGGGTTTCACAGGCGAACTGTGCCGAATTATCCTGTATTCGCTGTATTCACAACAGCGACAGCTGCAACTCCCATCAGTGGACGTGATGTGCAAGTCTGTGGTTCGAGATTGTTTGTATCGATTGGAAATGCTTGGTAGACTTGCATTGCATTAAGCGGCGTCGATGGGCAATTTGATTATAGCCTGTGGTGACTGCAGGTGTATTGCAAGCATACATACGCCCTTCGGCATGCACAAGGCGTGCCTGTACGACAATATGCCGGCTACAAGTAATGTGTTTTGCTTACTGACTGATTTCCTGCTTCAGCACCTGCCTACATCTGCCGCAAATGTGTGGTGCCGTGTTGTCTCGGCCAGCCCACGTCACTCTGATGTTTGCAGTCTATCGATACGCCATGCACGCGTGCTCCTTCTTAGCCAGTTGCGTGGCAATCGCTAATCTCCAGACACAAAGCCTGTCGCGCTCGCGAGCTGAGGCTTAGGGTGCGTTTGGCGTCGCCTCTGGCGAGCGGCGCCCTCGCACACGGCCGCGCCGGGGCGTCTGGCGGCCACCGGCTGCGGCTCCCCATTCCGCACGAGCGTGGCGTCAAGCGCGAGCTGCGCTCCGTAGCGTGGCGTCAAGCGCGAGCTGCGCTCCGTGCCAGAAGGGCAAGCCGTTTGCGATGACCTCAATGCAACGTGCGTCACTGACGGGAAGATCGATGTTCATGTCAGCGACCCGGACGTTGCGGGCAACTCGCGCGGTTTTCCCGGCAGTTGCGGGCGACCGCATGCTCGAGCGGAAGAGCTCGGGACGCGAACACTCCGGATGTGGCAACAAGCGGAGCGGTGTGGTCACCCAGCGGGTCGAGGCGACCCCGGCAACAGCAGGTGCGTGGCATGAGGGGTAGTGGCAGACGAAGCCGTCGCAGAAGGAGCACTCGGAGGTTTTCGGGTGGCAGGGTGACGCGCTGACGGGGGGAGGACAATGACGGCACGGCCTGAGTGGAGTCCAGCTTGTTAAAGCAGCAGCGCCCGGGACACAAGGTGCGTTTCAAGCGCGCGCTCGTCACAAGCTGCCACGGCAGCGCGCTGCCAGCCACGCAGGTGGCTTTCCCCCTGCGGAGGGTGCGGAGCAGCAGCCTCACGCACTCGCATCGTGGCCGTGCAAGAAGCAGCAAGGGCTGCCGGCATGCAAGCGTGCGGGACACTATAAGGCTATAGAAAGCAGCTGCGCCGCATCAGCATGGAGACTCTGGAGCATCGCAGAAAAGGCATTCTGCCACGAGTCCCAATAAAATCAATATAAACGGCCAACGAGCCAGAGGTTGCAGATCGCAAACCCAGGCCCTCTGGCCCGAGCGGTAACTGCGCCGTGCCAAGGGCATCAGCCGGCAGTTCAAGTGCTTCTTGCCCGTCAAGCAATGTGCGGAGACACAAAGCAACGGCGCGATCATGTTGGCGGTAGTACTCGGCCGTTCAGTGCGGAGGGAGCACACCGAGAAGACTTGCTATCATCCTGGGTGGGGATGCGCTCGAAAAGGGTCCTCAACGAGCATTTGGCGGTTTGCAGGCAAGGTCCAAGCCCCGAACCACACATCAGTGGCAAAGCTAGGGTCCGGCTGCAGTGCCGCGGGGTTCGGCGGCTCTTCTCCCGCTGCCTTCCAGACACGGGTCTGCCCCTGGTTGAGTTGGACCTGGGCATGGTCCCAAAGAGCATCGGCGAGGACACCAGAGGGACGGTGGCGATACGCTCAGGGGAGCAGACGATGTAGGTATCGTCCAGGAACGCAAACACCCCTTCGCCTGGCTGCAGTGCGGACGCGACAGCGTGAAAGGCGGCGTGTTGGGCGACTGCATAAAGCGTCGGCATGAGGGGGTCGCCTTGCTCTCCGCCCTCGGCTTGCAGGACCTCGTGATCAGTGCCAGCGTCGTCGGTCCACACGAAGCTGCTCGGAGCGGAGCAATCTGAGGTCGCGAGCGCAGCCCTTCGAGCATAACCTGTCGAGAAACATGCTGGAAAGCCACTGTAGCGTCGACCGACAGGACAGTGGTGCGGGGATTGCACTCGCTGGAGAGCTGGAGACTTGTGCCCGCACGGGCCGAAATGGTAGGGCATGCATGCTGCCCGGAAGGTTCGGCGAAGTGCTGGGCGACGAAACGGCGAAAAACGTCCCCGACGACCAGGGCGTGCACCCGGCCATTCAGCTTCCGGAGCGCGATTCGTCCAAGGCGCGCGGCTGCCAGGACAAGCGCCGGCACGTCAGCATTGGCGAACCGAAGTGCTGGTTGGTGGCTCCAGCAGCAAGCGAACGGGGGGCCCGCGGCGGAGCCTCGCCGGGCCGCCCAAATTGGCCAACAGCGGGGTGTGGCATGGGGCATAGCTCCGCTACATGGTTGAGCACCTGCGGGCTGAGTGGCACCACTATGTTTGGGGTTGGCGGCTGGAATCCCGGAGTTCAACGAAGGCCGCGGCAACTTGCTCGAGCCCGTGCAGACGGCTGTCGTCGACGGCCTCTGCGTCGCGGCCCGGCTTGCACACATTCGCCTTCACTGCAACTTTGCAATCTTGGCTCCCTGAAGGACGGATACTGCTCAATCGTTGGTTGGCTCAAAACTCCAGATGTCGAGTTTCTCACGACATCGCATCGAAACACAACTTTCTTTTTAACACGCCTTTTTCCGCCATCGGCTGTGTCCGGCTCCAAAGCACCGAAGAAGAGTAACCGGGGACCGACTCAGCACAGCGGCAGGCGGCTCAGCCCGTCCGGCCCGGCCAAGTCCAAGACTTCATCCAGGGCCGGCACATCGGTATGCGCCGGTCCCGGCATGGCCCTAGCACGCCCGAGCGCTGCTTGCCTTTTGTTAAAGGATTTGTTTTAAATCCTGGTGTGTTTCGCCTTCGAAAGGGCCGGCCAAAGGTGCAACAAAAATCTTCGGCGGGCAGCCCTAGGTCAGGTGAAACTCAGAGCTGAAGGTGTCCTGAATGAAGTTTGTGACCGGAAAAAACCTGAGTTGTTTTGTAGCCCAAAGTAGAAACAGATAGCCGGTGGCAAGTGGATAGAAATTCAAGTCGTTTAGAGTATGTATGTTGTCAAAATAAAAACACTATTGATGGTTTCAAAAATCTGGACAAGTTTTCGAGCAAGCCTCTTTGAAATATTTCAGGTACTCAACACATCGAAATCATGGGTTTGTATTTCGTGGGACCACATCAAATATCATGGCACCGTTCATGTCAGAGAAAGAACATTTTCATGGTTGTTCATTGAGTTTCACATGTGTTTCTGCAGCTGCGAACATGTCATGCCATGTGGTTTGAGGGCCCTATTCTAATTACAAGAATAAGCTTCTTTTACCACGTTCGAGATGCAGGCCCATTGCTGCAGGAGCGTAGGAACTATTATAGTACTAGGTCGGTATCTAGTACATCTCACACCCAAGCCTAGAACAGTTCTAGTAACAGCTAGACTAGATTCCACCCCGCTAAGACACCACAACCCAAAAGCCCTAATCCCTGCTCTCAACCCTCCCTGCGTAAGCCCTGAACCCCGAACCCCCCCGAAGCCCTAATCCCCATACCCCGCGTACCTTTCAGGGCCCCGCAGGCAAGCTCGGCGACAAGGCGAAGGAGATCAGACGGTGCCGCGAAGGCGCCAAAGAAAATGTGCCGCGATGGCGCAAGACGACGACGACGCTGACGACAACAACGACGACAGCTGCAGCGCGAGGGCGCAGAAACGTTCAGAGAAAATGTGCTGCGATGGCGCAGAAACAGACAAGATGCGCCGCGATGGCGCAGAGAAGAGGACGACAGAGCATGTGCCGCGACGGCGCAGTGTCAGTAGCTAGTGCACCGCGAGGGTGCAGAACTCTAGGCACTAATGTGCCGCGCCGCGACGGCTCTCTATTATCTCTCAAATGCGCCGTGACGGCGCATCTCTTCTTCCTTCGCTCTCTGATCTCTCTTTTCCTTTCTGGTTGCACATGTGCAGTGACGGTAAGGCTTTGACAGCACCGACCTGGTCTAGGCTGCAGTGGCTGCCTGAGTCGTGCAAGCATGAAGCGCGAATGTTTGCAGGTTGTGACCAGAATATTGAATGAGGCATTGTGAGCGGCAGTCGTTGCAAGCCGCCTTTTTTCTGATCACCGAGGCCGTGGAAGACGCTCTCCACTAGATGCCCAGTGCCAGTGCACAGCTGTGCCGGTCCACGAGCTAGTGACTGCGAGCGTGCTGACAGACACGATTCTGGGCCACCGGTTGGCTGGATGATTGACTTCAGCAGGCATCTACATCATCTGAGCGGCTTGCCAGCTGGGCCCTGAGACTTACACCAAGTGAAGGTTTGTGGAGTCTAACCCGGGCCATGCGTACTAGGAGTGCATGTGACCGTCTTGGTCGGAGTCACTTCCGGAAGGCACCTGGGTCATTTCTGTGGACGGATAAGCACAGAAGAAAGGATCTTTCATATAATGCATCACAGACGCCGGTGTTGTCGGGGGGGTCCTTTCGGCCGGTGATGTGGGAGTGGGGCCTCTCATCTCCGACATCAGGTCCCTGATCCTTGCCTGTGCAGGGAGCCACCGCAGAATCTCCATTAAGTAAAGGATTTGGGCCTCTGCGTGCGTAGCCGTGCGCATCTCAAAAACCAAGCACTGGTGTAGGTGCAGCAAGATGTTCTTCCACTCCTTGATGCTGTCCAATGCTGTCCAGCTCGTTCGCGACAACGTCGCGGTGCACGGCCAGCAGGAGCGCGTGAAGCGATTCGGGTGGAGAAATGCGGCGGAGGCTGTCTGTCTTGAACTCAAAACGGGTTCCAGGAGCCATCCAGCTGGGCGGAACGGCGCAGACGATCGCGCCCAGCATGGTTCGAGGCTTGCCATAGATCTTGTCCGCCATCTGCTGGCACTTTCTTGTTTTGATCGGCGTGTGCGATGTTGCAGCATCGAGGCCAAGATTAGCCCAGAAGACACTACCACCACCACTGGCCTCCTTGTTTGAAGCCAGAGCTTTCTGGACGAACTCCGGCTCCAGAACCTTGTGACGTCCACCAGCAGACTGGTCTCGCGCATCGGCCTTGTCGATTCCCCTGACCAGGGAATGCTTCAGAATCTCCTTGACTACCTCGTCCATGTACTCCATATGCTGCGCATTGCACTGGGCCACAGCGCCCAGCGTTGCCACCGACGAGGCTGGGGCCACCACAGCCATGCCGAGTATCAGCCCTGAACCGCTTTGTCCAAACGGGCGCTTTAGCCAGAGCTTCCTGCGGAGGCCCTTGAAGTCTTGGTTTTCAGACACAGCTGCTGAGCGAACGCACTAGCTGCATTAGAAAGCACAGCCTGACATCAATCTCACACACATCGACTTGGCGCTGCTGTAGGCAGAGGTTTGTGGGCTCGGCAATTGCAGGCAGCAGTTTCCAAGGCCCTGACCCAGCGAAATAAATCCAAACCTGCGCGAGTCGCAGCTGACACGGTCAACGGTGCATCGGTATTGCACGTCAGCTGTCAGTACCGGTACTGAGTGATGAGAGCCATGGGCGCGGATCTTCACCCCAACTGGTGAGAGAAGGACCCTTTATCTCAGCCCTCGGAATGCTAGGGCCAGAATGCAGGCACTCACCACTCGGTACCGGTACTGGCCGGTGCCTCGCGTACCGCTGGCACGGCAACTCTCTCAACCCTGCCCCTCAGAGTTTAAATCCAAGATATCTTCCATCAGCGTCATGTTCATGAGCTCTTTTTAGCACCCGAAACCCCCAAAACTGAGATATCTGCCGCGGGGTGCCTGATGTTGTTCTGCGCTCGTCGGCGCCTTTCTTCCAGACAGCCAGCCTTGAAACAAGCGAAGGATGAAAGCTCATGCCTCGTGCATTCCTCTCTAGTTCAGGACAACTGAAGCTGCCTTGGTGCCCTATTGGTGACCACGTCCAAGCACACCCTAGCGCCTCCGGCCTCCACCAGCAAAACCAGTCAAGGGGGGGGGGGAATGGGTCACCGGGTGCCTTGAGCGGGTCCCAAGAACCGACTTTGGAAGCCTTTTTGGGTGGTTCTGGCAAGTCCAACGTAATTTAATTTCGTTGGACTTGAGAATTCAGGGCCGAAAACCCGAGCCAGGTGCAGACGTACGTTTGCTGCAACGAAGGGTTACCAGCGGGATCCCGGATCCCGCCATCACTCGGTCCCCCACAGCAACGTACCTTGTCTGAAAACAACACCAGTCCCGTCTTCCTGGTGCAAAAACCCTACGTTATATTTCTATTAGAAATATGGTAACGTCCTATTAAGGGAGGTCGAAACCGGCCGAAACAAGCCCAGAAACCTCACACACGGACCCAAGTGGACCACCATATGTAAGCCCGCTGCATCTGCGACGGGCACCGAGGAGGCATGGGCCTCACAGCGCAAACATCGCAAAGGAAGGTCATCATCGCTGGAACGGAACGCTGGAACTGCACTGAATGTCACTGGAACGGAACGCTGGAACTGCACTGAATGTTGCTCCAGACTGCAGACGTTGGTGCGCACTCACTCTTCATTGGAATTTTCCATGCTGTCCCCTCTTACATCTGCACAATTGGACTTGCGACTCGTCTGGAAGCGTGACCCGAAGCTGCGAACTATAACTGTCTAGTCCTCAGCATATAATGCTCACTACCACGCACGCGGCTCGACCTGTCTGCGCAAGTCTGTGGCTGATAAAAACCACGATAGACGGAGCAGTAAGCTTCAATCAGTGACTCCGACGAAAACGATCGTAGGCACTCGTCGTAGGGCCCAGGCCCAGTCTTCCAGCTGCAAAGGTCCCAACTGATGGCCTAGAACTCTAGTCAACATGCTAGCGTCAAAAACTAGTCTGGGCTGGCCGCAGCTGTGCACTGGGGGCCTCTAGTAGCGGAGAGCCTCTTCCGCGCCTCAGCAGAAACATTCTGCGCGGCCGATGCTGTTAAAGCCTTACGGTGACTGCGGGTGCGCAGAGCATCTTGGAGGGAGCAGTGCAACTAACCCAGTCAGTGGCCACTGATATGACGGCACGCCGTCGAAAGAGGCACAGACAGACCTCAGAGAGAGACAGAGAGAGACATAGAGATCAGACAGAGGGAAAGAATGCGCCGTCGCGACACATGTAATTTCCTATATGCACCCTCGCGGTGCGCTGCCTACTTCCTTGCTCCTGCGCCGTCGCGGCGCATGATTTTGTTTCTTGCCCCTGCGCCGTCGCGGCGCATCTTCTCTGCTTCTGCGCCATCGTGGCACATCTTCGCTGCCTGTTTCTGCGCCATCGCGGCGCAACCGCCGTCGTTGTTGTCGTCAGCGTCGGCGTCGTCGTCGTCGTCTTGCGCCATCGCGGCGCATTTTCTTTGGCGCCTTCGCGGCACCGTCTGATCTCCTTCGCCTTGTCGCCGAGCTTGCCTGCGGGGCCCTGAAAGGTACGCGGGGTATGGGGATTAGGGCTTCGGGTTGGGGGTTCGGGGTTCAAGGCTTACGTAAGGGAGGGTTTAGAGCTTACTTTGGGGATTAGGGCTTTTGGGTTGTGGTGTCTTAGCGGGGTGGAATCTAGTCTAGCTGTTACTAGAACTGTTCTAGGCTTGGGTGTGAGATGTACTAGATACCGACCTAGTACTATAATAGTTCCTACGCTCCTGCAACAATGGGCCTACATCTCGAACGTCGTACAAGAAGCTTATTCTTGTAATTAGAATATAAGGCCCTCAAACCACATGGCATGACATGTTCGCAGCTGCAGAAACACATGTGAAACTCAATGAACAACCATGAAAATGTTCTGTCTCTGACATGAACGGTGCCATGATATTTGATGTGGTCCCACGAAATACAAACCCATGATTTCGATGTGTTGAGTACCTGAAATATTTCAAAGAGGCTTGCTCGAAAACTTGTCCAGATTTTTGAAACCATCAATAGTGTTTTTATTTTGACAACATACATACTCTAAACGACTTGAATTTCTATCCACTTGCCACCGGCTATCTGTTTCTACTTTGGGCTACAAAACAACTCAGGTTTTTTCCGGTCACAAACTTCATTCAGGACACCTTCAGCTCTGAGTTTCACCTGACCTAGGGCTGCCCGCCGAAGATTTTTGTTGCACCTTTGGCCGGCCCTTTCGAAAGCGAAACACACCAGGATTTAAAAAATCCTTTAACAAAAGGCAAGGCTGTGTGGCCGACGGCTTGTTGGACGGCGACTGAGAGCACGCTCCACCATCGGCGGGCCCACGCTGCTTTCGCAGGGGCTCGCACAGCCGGCGGACGGGCTTGTTGGCCAGACGTGCGAAGGTGGTCGAGCGCGCCTGGGTCCGCGTGGCGCGCGAGGCCGTAGGACCCGAAGGCCAGGTCGTGCCACAGCAGTGGCTCGCCCACACAACTGCTCCCGGCGTCCCAACCGAAGACCGTCGGCGCCTTGACCTTGTCGTCTACGGTGGCACAGCCAATGGCGGGGCGCTGTGCTGCGACGCGACACTGGTGTCCCCCCTCACGAGGACAGGGCACCCGCATCCATGCACAGTGGAAGTGGACGGGGCGGCGCTGAAGGTCGCGGAGCGGCGCAAGCAAAGCACCTACCCGGAGCTCGCGAGGGGCGGCCCGCAGAAGCTACTGGTGCTGGGCTCGGAAATCGGAGGCCGCTGGAATGCAACAGCGCAGGCTCTCCGTGCGCCGCCCGCACTGCGTCGCGCCGCGTCCTCTGGGTGGGCGCGACGCTGGTGGGGAGCCTTGTCAGTCGCACTCCAGCTCGCCGTTGCAGGCACGGCTTTGGGTCGCGCGTGGCCAGCCGTCCCAGCGCCGGGGCCGGGCGATGGCCCCGCACTGGACCGTGTGCTCGACCTCGCCGCTGACGAGGCGCCCAGCCGCCTGCCCCTGCGGCCCTAAACCGGGACCGCACGCAGTAATGTGATGCCGTAGGACTGTCGTAGCTACCGGATCTTCTTGCAGTCGGAAAAGTCTGTTGAAAAAAATAATTCTTGTCGCTGCATGCGACCTCGACGTGCGAGGCTACACCGACATGGTGGTTTCACTGCGACGTCGGAGTTGTGGACGCAGTGCAGCCGGTGAGGCGCCTCGTTGGTCTCCGTGCGCACAGAGCCGCCACGCTCCGGCATGCGGCCCTGCCTGGGAGCGGAGCAGTGCACGCGAACTGGGCGGCAAGGAAGGCAGAAGCACGCAATCGCGAGAGTGTACGGTAAGGGTCCGCGACGCGTGGTACTGCCAGCCGTGCGGCCAGTCCCCGGCACCAAGGGCTGCAGGCGGGGCAGGACGGGCTCCTTCGAGGAGCACACGCCATGTGGGGCAATCGCTCCATCCTTGGTCCTGCAAGGTACGGCGTGCATTCGCTGCTTCTGCAAAGCAGTGCGCTCCACCTCCCGCGTCGGACTCGAGGAGGCGCGCATAAGTGGCCGCGATTGAGGGCAGGCGCGCATTGATTGCAGGCACCGCATCCGCCCAGGAAGCCCAGTAGGCTGCAGGCGCTATCGCTTCAGCGGATAGCAACCCCAGCCCGCCCAGCGCACCTGGCAGGGCGGCGACCTGCCTCGCATGTCTTGTATGATCTCTAGTGGTGCTACGGTGCTCACCCAAGACTCTGCAACATGTCGGGGTCCAACTTAACGCTGTCGCAAAATTGATCGCTTACGGAGCCGTGAAGCCCTTCAGGTCCGCTGTTTTCTGAAAAAACCATCGACATCAAGATCGAAGACCTGCTGCGAAATGTTGGCCGAAAGTCATACCACCACAGGAAGTGCCAGCCATGCTGGAGCAACAGTCTTTTTTGAAGTTCACGCCGATAATGGCACAATGGCACGTTAGGTGACAGGCGAAGTTTGCTTCTCGATAGCTGTATTCGGTTGAGGACGATCACATCAAAGTTCAACACGGTCACCAAGATTCTGACACGGTGTGTAACGCAGCAAGCGAACGGACTCGCTGTCGCAGCACTTTAAATTTGGAACTACACAAAGTCAACAAATGCAGCTGCATTCCTATACATGGCTTGAAACGGCTGTCAACTTCGTGATTCTGCTCTATGATGTGAATCGAGGATCCCGTCAGACACGACCCATGCCCACAGAACGACTGCAACCTTTCAGGCACCCTCTAGGTTGAATGCACCATGTTTTCGTTGGTCCATGCCTTGGAAAGGAGCGCGGCACAACCGTGTGACGGCCATTGCTAATTGCAACAGGCGCACGGGAAACTTTGACTAGGCTTCACAGTGGCTCGATGTGCTGGTGTTTAATCGTACTTGTGTGACGGTTTCATGCTGTGGAAGTAACGGTGGTGATTCAAGAATCGCGCACACCCCTGTGCCGTTACATGTGATGCTTGTGATGCTTTGGTCCTGGACATCCTGCTTTTGAGATGGGTCGTTCGTCAGCTCGCTTTTGCCGAAGGCTTTTTTTCAAACACCCTTCTCGAACATTCCAACGCGGTCCCAGTGCAGCAACCTACGCCGGGTAGCATTGCAGCCTACGCCGGGTAGCATTACTCGTCACACCCAACCCTAATCAGCGGGACCCCTGGACCAAGCTCGCCAAAGTGGCAAGGCAGGGCACGTCATCGTGCCGGCAAGCGACTGGCGTGCGGTGGGTGGCCGAGTCGGTGCTCGGCGATCACGTCGCTCAGGGGAGCCATCGACGTTGGCGGTGCCATGGAGAGCCAGCGACAGTTTCCTGCGAGGCTGCGCAAAACCTCGCGCCGGCGAAAGCAAGTAATCCGCACCCACGCTGCGCTGCTGCTGGCCCGCAAGTGAGGAGACCGGGCTCGGCAGCGGGACAATAGACTGACAAACTGGACGGCCTGCGCTCCAGCGTCCTGCCACTTCAATGGCCAGCACCACGAGGCGAAACCTCGCGGCGCGGGTGAGCTCGGGGTAAGTGCGCTTTTTGTTTGCACGGGCTGCACGGAGGCCACGCCGATAGTGCTGCGCTGGTAGTGCCGCGAGCAGCCTCTTGCATCGAGGGCTGAGAAGAGCGTGGTGTCGACAGCAAGCTGAACTCCTCCGCAGAACGGTATCCCGTTGGCGATAACCTCGATTCGAGGGTCGTTGTGCTGACTCGTGATGATGTTGAGATCGCGCAACAGGACATTTGCGGCTGCGTTGCGCAGTATTCGGGTTGGAGCTGGGCGCCAGGCAGGGCGCCAGCGACGTCCGACGCTCCGGGCAGCGTGGCAACAAGTGTGCGTATGTGTGCTTCGCAGAGCCACACTCACGACACCAGTGGCGCAGCCAACAGCCATTGTGCCCACTCATTGGCATGGGGCTCAGCTTGCTGTCGCCTGCGTCCGCCCTGCACGGCCAAAAGCCGATAGTCAGCTCGGCCTCGCCGTGCAGCAAGCAAGGAAGCGTAAGCCGTAAGCGTCACTATGCGTACCTGGAGCTTGCGCGCTCGCCGCACTGCCACTTCGTTGTGTTTGCTGTCGAAGTGTGTCGAAGTTGGCGGCCGCTGGAGTCCCGAGCCCACACCCTTCCTCAGGGTCCTCGCACAGGCGCGAGCTGGGCGCGCGCGCGCGCGTTGCCGTTCGGTCGGCTCGACGTGCGGCCTATGCCCCTGAAGCACTCCTGAACCTCACGTTCGACACCGTCGCAAGGAAGGTCCTGCGGCAACACGAACGCTGGCTTTGACGCCCCTGCCCCTAGCCGGCTTCTGCAGAGGACTGCGGGTGCACTGAGATCGCGTTTGTACTGGTCGCAAAAAGGTGTGCGTAAACAAAAGGGGTTGAAACGAGTCCTATCATTGAAAGCAAAACGTAAGAAGTTGCAGCTCGCATACTCATGCGAGTCTGGGGTCGGCTCCACCCTGCGCCCGGGACCTTGACCGGATCCTCGACCTCGCTTACTCCGCGGGGCCGAGTCGGCTGTTTTTGTGCGGCGTGACGAGCCACCTCGCCAGCCGCGTGCCTCGCGCAACGTAGTTCGGGACCTCGCGCAGGTCTGCGCCCAGCGCGCACCGCCAGCGCGTCACAGCTTCGACGTGGGCGCGGGGCTGGTGCTTTCGGTCTCCGTGGAACAGGCTGTGAGCAGCACGGCGGTCTGGGTCAGCCCAATGATCGGCAACTTTATCCGCGCATGTCCTACATTCAGCACAGCGGCGTCGAGCGTACGCTGGGTACAGCCAGCCCCAACAGGAAGCGGAGACGCCAAAGTTAAGCTCGCACTGAACATCGTTTTATCAGGATTTTCGCGCCAGGATAAACTCCGGCAACCCGGCTGCGCCAAGACTCCGCGACTCGGTGCGCCCCGACCGGTGGTCACTTTTTGGTCGATGTTACAGGCGGTCAACACGGGCAAGCAACCCCAGCATGCCAACGGAGGCGCAAGCCGTGCAACGAAGTCCGACCTTGGGGAAACGGTGGGCATGCAGCTGGCACCTTCGCAGCACTGGTCGTGTTGCGTAGTGTGACAAGCGCTGGTGTGCTGCCGCTCGTTGAATGGCATATCCACCTCGGTTGCGCGAAAGATGTTGCCCTTTTGAGTTTAATATGCGGTTCCATGCAATGTATGTTTCATACCTGGATCATGTTGACGGCTCGCGGCGGCACTCGAAGTGCCAGCCACTGCACTCACGCCCCGTGTCGTTCTCGCACATCAGGCAAACAAGGCCTTACACATGCTTGGACACAGCGCCTAGCGCACAGGTTACCTCGCAAACGATGTGCCAACAAGCTCGTGAACGAAACCACGTCTCCTTGCACGCTCCGTTTTGCACAAGCCCGGTATTTTGTTGGCGCTGTGTGCCAACCGGCTGGCGCATGCGAGATGAGACCTGAGGCACAATGCCGTAGTTAACAATCGTAACAGTCATGCACATTCTCACAATTTCATTTACATTGCTGTTTGCATGGTTATTGTTGATGTTGCTGTGCTGCTGAGCAGCAATCTTGGAGAGGCAGAGAACATGTGCACGAAGCGAGCATGCTCGATGTGGTGGTGCGCTTTTACATTGTCATATCGCGGGTGATGGCCTCCGTGGGCATATTTTGCACTGCTGTTTCCAGTCGCAGAACGGGCCACCTATGCAGCGGGTCAACCGACTCAATGCTTAGGCGCCTGTCCGCGACGACATGTGATCCGACACCGGAGATATTCGTCACCGTTCTGACGGAACCGCCACACATCCACATCTCGCCAAAATGTCCGCTCCCTCGTTCGGCAGCGCCAGCTCTGGCTTGCGAACAATACTATTCCGCCGCGTGCCAGGATTACCCCGCAAATTCATTAAGCTCATAGACGAAGACAGTAACGCATACTCACGCCGAGCTTGACCTTGGCAGGTTGGGGCGAGGTTTCACAGGACGCCGCAGGCGCTCTGAAACCTTGCCGCAACACAGCTAACAGACTCATGGCTCATGGGCGACGTCTTTCGCCACCTGCTGTTTTTGGATGCTCCCAAAGCAGCTGCATCCCTTCGCCACGCTATACAAACAGCAGCGGTGCTGGAACTCGGGGAGCGAACCGACGTGTGGCAGAATCAGACAACCATCCCCACCTGTGCGACACATGCAACATACCGCGTTTCGAAGGAGGCTGCAGGGCTCGAAAACGCCGTCGCCACTAGCGAAATCTGCGCAGCTCCTGTGTCCGCAACGAAACAACGAAACAGTACTCCCTGAGAACCCTCCAACCAAGTCATGATGCAGTGTGGCAATGGCTTCCGTGGCGCTGTTCACATCGTTGGCCGTCGCCCGAGATCTTTCCTGCATAACCCAAAGTCTAAGTAGCCTTCCACGTTCCTGTTTTCATCCCAACCGTGGGTCCGATGCACAGCGTAGCGAGGCATTGTATGAGTGTACAACAGGCAAAGTTCCTTCGGAAACACTGCTGCCCAACACGCAAAATCACAGCGTGGAGTCGACCAAGCAATTCATCCCGAGCAATGGCGCGTGGTGTGCCAGTAGGCGAAATTTCTTTTGAGGCGGTTAGTTTCACCGACCCTCATGCCAACGACGATGCTTTCAACAACAAGGAATGCTGTTCACACAAGTTTTGTGCCCAGAGTTGCTTTGTTGCGACCACGATTTGCAAAATCGCCAACATCCCAAGCTGAAAACTTCAGTGCCCTCTGTTCTGAACGTTGCCCTTGCCTTTGGCCTTGCTGTTTCACGCCTGTACTGTACAATGTGCACAGCTTTACACCAACCGAATTTTCGCGCGACGCAAATGCAAAAAATATCATAGCAACAGCTGGACCCCGGTCTACGCTAAAGCAGCGTTTTTATTCAGCAAACGTATCTATCCATCGGAATGCCTGGTGGCTGGAGTCCGACACAGCATGGATTGGGCCATGCAAGGGGCGATCAGAATGAAAAGCTGCGGCTGCGACTGTGCCAACCCAACAGAAACCCTGGCGCGTGTGTCCGTAGCGCAGGACACAGTCGGGAGACCAACCCAGAGCTCCTTCGCCCCGCCATTCCATCGCAACACCGGCGTTGGACGGTGGATTCTTCATCTGTGTCATTGAGCGTGGATGGCGACGCCAGCTCCAGGTGTTGCTGGAACCACAAGCCCTCAATACAGGGTTACCAAACCAAGTTCGTCATATCATGGTTTCCGAGACTACAAACGGATAGGGATATCGATCGTGAGACGGCAGGCCTAAGCTGTGAGGGTGGTGCTGCATTGTCGCTTTTGGCACTGTAGCTGGTTTGTGCCGAAACAAATCTCGCCAACAAAGCCCCAATGCGATGACGGCGTCGACAAGTAAAATGCTCTCTGCAAATGACGGACCTTTCACAAACAATGGAACCAGTGCCGAGCGCGCAGTTGAACATGATGAAATGACACAATCTCAAGGACCGTTTATTCACGCTTCCACACCGGACAGCAGTGTCACGAAGTCACCGCACAGCATGCACCAGTTCCACTGCCGATGGACCATATGGATGTTCATCGAATTGGACTATGGTTGGACACGCCTGGACTTGAACAAGGAGATCATCTGCCTCTTGTCAACATGCGATGTGGAAAACCTAACCTGAAAGTACCATACAACACGACCTGTGTCTAGTTTGTGGTAGTCCAGTTGCTGCCGTGCTAACTTGTCCATCTACCGTCTGCTGAGCGCGACATCATCGCGACTGTTGTGCCGAGGCTGGGACACAACCACACCGTTCCCAATCAGATTTTTACATGCCTGCATGAGCAACACAATTCGTTGTCGAACACACAAAGATCAGCGAATTGCATGTCCTTGTTGATCATACCACATGGCAATAGATGGAAAGCATACTTCTTTCCATCCTTATCTGCAAAAGCACCAACATCATGTCTGTCGCGTGCATGCCACAACATGGCTCAAGTCCGCTCTCCAAGTGTCAACAATCAACGTGTGGCCAGCGTTTGCGCCACCGTTGAAACGAGCACATAACTGAACATCCTGACAAGTCAGGCAAGCATGGTGCCGAGCTCGAACTACAGCGCTTCTCGGTTTGTTTGTGAACCTGCGCCAAGATGTCCACAAGCTTGCCTTTGCCCTCATCGCCCCATTGGGCCCCCAAAACGACACCTGAACTATCTCTTTCTTTGAGGCTGCACGAACTCAAGTACACAAATAAACAAGCCGCAGAATGGCGAGCTCTCGCCGCAGGGATCGTGCGGATCCCGTGCACGCGCCATGCAATCTTCCAATTACTTTCAAGTATGACAATGAAATTACATTAACCCAAAAGAAAACATAGCACCTGTAAATCCAACTGTTCACTCGATGTTTCTTGAACCACAGTCGATCTGGCAAATTTGGCAGCATGCTTGTCAGGCAATACTGGTCGGGATCTCGTTCATCTGAACGTAAATGACCTGGCAACCCCTCCCAACAACCAACATGCCAATGACATTGTCGCCACATCGAGGTAGTACTAGGCCAGGACATGCCGAGCAGAGCACGCGCAACAACAGCTGGCAGCCATCAAAACGAAGCCATAACTTGCCCGAAAGCAACTGCTACTTTGAGATCCACACTGATGCATAGGAGCTTTTGACATGCATGTTCACGTATTCTCTTGAAACCCGCAGTTCAACTTTACCTAACCCAAGACACGCTACGAGCTACAGAGCAAAGCTAAGCAGAGAGACCTTTTGACTTTGCCGGAAACGCGAGAAGTAAGTTGAAGCTGCAAGCCAAAGCTAAGCAAAGAAAAGCTACAACGAAGCTACGAGAGTTTAGACCCCCCCTCGCCCAAAGTAAAGCAACAAAAGTACGAAAAGTATACACAGCTATGAAAAAGCTAAGATATATCATCACAAAGGGTAGGGCGGGTGGGTCAAAATTTTAAAGCATGGAGCGAAGCTTTAAGCTATGCTGAAGCACGCGTGTCTTGGGCCGAAATGTTGTGTTTGGAACATGGTAAAGTAAAACACCCATGAGTAAACACATGAAACGTTCAACTTTACCTAACCCAAGACACGCTACGAGCTACAGAGCAAAGCTAAGCAGAGAGACCTTTTGACTTTGCCGGAAACGCGAGAAGTAAGTTGAAGCTGCAAGCCAAAGCTAAGCAAAGAAAAGCTACAACGAAGCTACGAGAGTTTAGACCCACAGTTTAACCGGCAAAGTCAAAGTCTCGCCCTATGGTTCCCCAACGTTCAAAGTGAGGGTTTGACGCGCTCGCTCAGTGAAACGCTGCACCCCGGGCAACAATCCTGCGGGCGAAAGCAGCACCATGCCACCCCGGGCAATCATCCTGCGGGTGGAGCATATGCTGCACCCCGGGCAAACATCCTGCGGGCGTAAAGCAGCAGCATAAAGGCCCCGGGCAAAGATCCTGCGGGCACTGTCATATGTCATCATCTGACACATGTCGTTCCGGTGTCTCCGTTGGCAAAGAAAAGTGGGAAGGCCACACCAGGACTTCCTTGCGAAAGAACCAGATGAACTTGAGAGAGCAGTCCACCCGGTCTTCTTTCCGCCATTTGTCAGGTAAAGAATCAGTTTGATTCCACCTGCTCAACAGATCTGCATCATCATTTTTCTCACCGGCGATGTGAGAAATATCCAGCTCAATACCCGAAGCTGCAGATATGAGGGAAAGTTTCTGGGCAAACGCTCCCAATGGCCACTTGGCAGTGTAAAGCTTCGCCCCCAAGGCCTCTGTCGAAGCGTTGTCGGAAAAGGAGGGGAGGCGAACTGCCACTCGACCCGAAGGAAATACTGACCTGTAAGCATGTACCAAAGCAATCTGCGCCAAAGTCTCATAGCAGGCAATGTCCTTATGCGCGGGTCGGCGAAGTTCCAAACTCAAAACCGACAAATCGGAAAGCTGCCAGGCCTGAGAAAACCAAATGTAAGCACCAGACGGGAAGGCAATAAAACCGCCAATCCCAATGAGCTCTCCATCAGCTCTTGCATCCGCAAAGGCCTCAACCTGGAGTCGCAAAGGAACAGAAAGAGCCGTATAAGGCTGAGGTCTTCGACACCATTCTCTCCAGAATGAAAGAAAGGTCCGCGATGCTGGTGACAAAGAACGCCGATCAGATTTGGGATTAGTCTAGTCACCCGCATCCAGATCCGATTGGAGGTACGGACCTTGCAAAGGTCTTGCTTTGTTTTCAGTTCTGTATGTCGTGCTTCCAGTAATTTGCCTCCCAGCGGAACTTGAGTACCCGGAGGTACGGATGTAAAGCGAAGATCATCGTCAAGGTAGTTAGCCAAAGAAGGCCAGAGCCCCTGTGATATGCTATACTGGGAAGCCAAATGCCGATGTAGATCTGAGAAAAGGGACGCCAGCCAGGGTTTGCAAGATCTGTAAAGCTGACAGAACCACTGTAGTAGTCCTACCAACTTGTGGAGCAAAGCACTGGTAACCCTTCTGGACCGTGTAGCATCCTTGATCAAGTTGAAAAGCTTATCAACTTTTTCTTGCGGAATATGAAAAGAGCCGCTGGTAAAGTTGAATGTCCAACCAATCCAGGTAATGCAACTTCCCAATTGTAACTTGGCCCAGCTCAAAGGCACTCCGAATATAGATGTAAAGCAAAGTAAGAGTGACGCAGAGTACAGGATGCACTCTCGGTCCTGGATGAAAAGAAAATCGTCGACGTAGCCCATAAGAGCATGGCGCACAAAGATCCAGAGATGCATGAGTCGTAAGAGCATGCCCGCCAGTCGCTGAAACCACAAGGCAGAGAAGTTTGCTCCGAATGGACAAACTCGGTAAAAGAAAAGTCTGTCATCCTTACCCTCTCCACCCGGTAAAGTGACACCGAGCAGTCCCTGGTCAGCCTCTTTGACCCTAACCGTTTTATGCGCCGCCTTGACGTCGAGATGGAAGCCTTCACACAGGCCTGCATGAAGGCGCAAAGGAAAGCAATCTCGAACATCTTGTAGACCTGGCAAAGTGTAGCGCTCAGGGATAGAGCATGCATCGTTGGTGCCACACACGGTGGAGTCAACCACCAGCCTGGGAGCTCTCGGGGGAGAAAGTACGAGGGACATTTTCCCTACCGCAACGCGCTCTCCCCAACGTTCCTGTGCCGCCTGTAAAAAAGGCATCTCAAACAGCCATCCTTTCTGGACCTCAGCCTGCACCAACTCTCGCAAAGTATCTGGATCATTATTGGCGCTTTGCCAGTTGTCCTTGGCAATGGAAAGCTGGTGAAAAGCTCCGGTGCTGTCGGATGTGGTATGAAAACCTTGGAAAGCGGGATGTCACTGTCATATCCTGTGGGAACCCCATCAAGCAGGCACTGGCAAAGGGTATCATCCTTGTCCTTGACAAACTGTGAGAAGAACTTCAAAGCACGCAAAGCGTAAGGTTGATGGTCCGGAATCGTCCAGTCAATCACATGTGACGATCCTTGTTCTGAGACCCAGGACTGAAAAAGCTGTCTGAGATGCTGAATCTCGCCTTCCTGAAAGAGTGGCTCTGAGCTGTGCTGCAAGGCATGGGCCTGTAGTCGTTGTGGGATCTTTTCATCGAAGATCCACTGCCGAAGTTTGGACCTGAGATCGCAAAGTACATCCGGAACCCCAGGTGGAGGCGTACTCCAATCAGGCACTGAGTAAATCCCAGCACCATCCTGGTTGGCAAAGGGTGGATCGAATCTCGCTTTGACATGCCTCAGAAAAGGAATCTGGCCAAACTGCAAATCTTAAGACAACGCTCACTCTCTTTTCGCTCCAGCAATGGAGGAGGTTTTGTAGCAGAAAAGTCGGAGACAGGGGTTTTACAAATCTTGGCAGGCTTTCACGAGTCAGGCTTTTACAAATCTTACAAATCTCACAAGTCAGCGACTATGCTCCGACAGCTGTGCGGTCTGATCTCGAAACATTACAGACAGCTAAAGCTTTACGAGTCTGCAGTCTGCTCCGGAGCTAGTAGTGCTGTTGCCTTTGCTCGCCTGCCACCCCTATCCGGAAAACAAAAAGGAGCTTGCATGAATTAGCCGCCCCAACAGCGGAAAGAGCGAAGTGCCTGGGCGGAGAGGGAGGGTAAGCAGAAAAGGGCTACCGCGACAGAGTATCGTTGTCTTAAACTACGAGAACGTTGAGTCAAAGACAACGCTCACTCTCTTTTCGCTCCAGCAATGGAGGAGGTTTTGTAGCAGAAAAGTCGGAGACAGGGGTTTTACAAATCTTGGCAGGCTTTCACGAGTCAGGCTTTTACAAATCTTACAAATCTCACAAGTCAGCGACTATGCTCCGACAGCTGTGCGGTCTGATCTCGAAACATTACAGACAGCTAAAGCTTTACGAGTCTGCAGTCTGCTCCGGAGCTAGTAGTGCTGTTGCCTTTGCTCGCCTGCCACCCCTATCCACGTTCCCTAGAGTTGCGTAGCGATGTGCTTTGTCGGAGATAAAGCGCGTAAAATTTTTTGAGTGGTTCTTGGGAAACCTCGAAAGACATCTCAGCCAGCCTGGCCAGGCCGTCTTGGATGTAGAGCCTTGCAGTCCGTTCACTGCTCCACCTCCCCATGTGGCGAACCGCATCGAAGTTAGGATGACGGCGCCAGTACATGGTGGCCCCTCCTCTCCGGAGGCTGTACGGCTTGAAGTGCCAGTCAAGCAGTCCCAGAGCCTGCAAGCCCTGATCAAAAGCTTTTCGAAAGAGGTATGTGGAAACGGGTACTAAAAAAGTGTTTGGTTTGACCTGCTGTTTCCACTGAGCTAGCCGAAAACAAACGTCAGCTACACGCAGCGTGACAGAGTCAAAAGTGCCCGTCCTCTGCGAGGTCTTGGTCAGACCCAAACTGATGACGGCGAATTCGAAAGTCGGTGACACGTGTACATGGGACGCTTGAAGGCTCAGAAGCTCCCCGGTGCGAAGAACAGAGTAAAAGGCCACTTCCAGCGCTAAGGCCATCAGCGGGTTATGCTTAAAAAGAAAGAAGCCACAGAGACTTTGCAAAAGGTCTTCAGGCAAAGGCGGTGCCCGCTTGGGCAACCCTCGTTTTTGCCAAGTGCGTACCAAGCGCCAGGACAGCGCCAGGTTGCCCCGAAAACGGGGGCGGAGGTCTTGGAGGCCCGAAAGACCGTCTGTGGCCAAAGAAAGGCTTTCGCCTTCTTCCCAAAGGTGCTCTATGTACTCTGCAAACACACTGTCAACGCCTTCCGCATGGTCGGGGACGCGGATACGCTGGATTTGCGCGTACAAGTAAAAAGCTGTCAACGCAGCGTCGTAACGCTGACGGGTTCGTGGTGCTACTGTGTTGGACCGCAAAGTTCCCAAACGTTGTCTCTCCACCTTTCTTTCCTGTTTTGTTCGTGCTGCGACTGTCACTTTGCCCATTTGCGCTTCACACGGCTAAGGCGCCGACTGGGTGCGTCGGCCGGGTTCGTAGCACTGGAAACGTAGCACAGGAAAGGGTGGAGACCGGAACAAAGGAGGAGGGAAGCAATGCGGTACATCAAAGACTGTATCTTGCGGGAACTCGAGCGTCCGCGTGAAACTACGTGCAGACAGACCATAGAGTCGGTCAGGTGGATGAAACGAGCCTTCAACTCTTTTCGCCGGAGGACTCGCCATCGCAAAGCGGTATAAACCGCACGAAGTTCGTAGCGATTTATGTGGTCATTTTCTGAAGCTGGCCATGGCCAGCTGCAGATGGTCTTCCAAGACCACAGGTGGGCTGGAATGGAAGCCCGGAAACGCTGATGATCTTGAACGTTGGCTCCCGTTTGAATCATGATGTCACTCCCCTTGCCAGACAGCAGGGTGAGCAATCTCGGAACCAGCCGGCCCCCCGATCCCGTAGGATGACTGACAACGCTCGCTCCGAGAGGATGCCAAGCCAGCAGGTTTGTTGAAAAGATCGGCAGGCCGCCGAACAGGCTGGAAACGAGTTGGTGCAGTGACTCAGTCAAGCAAAGCCCTAAAGGGCGAAGGAGTTGAAGCAGTAAGAAGGCTACAACAGCGATGCTCCAAGAATTGCCCAACAGGGTCAAACGGATATCCTCCACCCTTTGTGGATTCCCTTTGGCATCGTTCTTTGGCAGCACGTTGCGAGTGAAACCAGGCGGAAAACCTAGGCAACGTTCTCTTTCTGCCACGCTGGGAGTTCTTGGAGGCTTCTTGGGGTGCCAAAGAAGATTCTCATCCTTGTATTGGTATGGGGGGAAGCGATGCCGATCGGCAGCCCAACGATCGAGTGCTTGGGCGTCACATCTGGCGATCCCTGCCGGCTTGTCCCGAATGGTTTCACTGGGTTGCGCTGCGGTGAAAGTGGTGAGGCAACTCGCCTTGGGATGCAAAGCCCAGCCAGGCTCTAAGCATCCAACTTGCTTCACCGGACCGGTGAAAGAAACCCGCCCATATGTGGTTGGATCACCGCTCTTGGGCGGATAAAGTTCTACACCGTCCTCGTGCTCCAAGGCCCATGTAAACCAGTAGAGTCGATCTCGACGGGATGGGGATAACTCCGAAGCGCAAATACGGTATGGAATGACATCTGCTTCACGTGTGTACGAGACCCGAGCTTGTGCATCAAGGCTCACAACACTTTCCTGCAAGAAATGAAGTGGGCACCAGCTGAAGGCTTTCTGAATCATGTCCACAATCGGCCTCACCAAGGAATGCAGTGACCTCTGAGATGGGGCCCCAGCTCCAACCAACACCAGTTTCGCAGTGGATGCCAAACCAGCCCAGCGCTGACACATATCCGGGGTGATATCCTCCACTTGATCTACGAAAATGGTGTCCGGAAAGTTGCTTTCCACCACCCTGCGAGCGCATGGGTCCTTCTCGACAGAAATGTGCAAGGACACTAAAGCATGGATGACTTCAAGGCTCACGCGGAGTGCTGAGATACCATCAAAGAGACAGATGCACACAATCCCACCATCAGGTGTCTCGCGACGTTCTTCTCCTCGGAAAGGGCCCTGACCTACCTCTACTCCCAAACTGGTTTCAGCTTGTGAGGCGCAAACGCCTTCTCCGAAGAGCGATGCATCACTGGCCGTCACCAAGTCAGACGTTGAAAGCCTGTGGTCGATGTGAGCCAAGGGCAACAAGCTGAGGAACATCAGCATCTCGGAGAGGACAGCCCCTGGGATGGAACGGACCCGAGGACCAGGTTCTTCAAAGGATTGGATGAAAGCCCAAATGAAGTTCAGACACGACATGAGCGGCCGCCGGAACATAGCAAAATAAACAAAGCCACCCCCAACGATCTGAATCTCCTTTTGTGAACAACGTGCCCTCCTAAGCAAGGAGAGCGCCGCGCTCACGTATTTTTTGAGCTTGTCCCTCTTAGGCCGGCTCCACCCAGAAGACCCATCAACATCAGCGCCCTGAATTTCTGCCTTTGTCTGCTGCTTAGCTGACTTCTTCGGGTTGAGCGGGATCCCGCCCTCTTCATAGGCTGCAATCAACGGTGCAACTTCAGGTGACACTTTGCCCTCAAGCAACCTCACCATTTCGGGGGACTTCTTTTCGAGGACGTCGAGGTTGTCTAAATACACCCGCCACACCGGATTGCTCAAAGGCCAAGTGCGATCTTTCCTGACCTCGTTGAAAGCACCTAGTTGCTTGATCGGCCCCTGCGCTTTCTTCAGGAAATTCCTATGCAAATGTTGAGCGACACCAACTGAACTGAGATACCCCATAGGGACCACTTTGGCAGTGAGGAAACACGGCTCATCCACTCCAGGCGGAACCAAATCTGGTGGAACGGCTTTACCAAAACCTAGCATTGGAAACCAAGCGGGAGGTAACCTGAACAGGTAGAAGAAGCATCGGATGTCCTCTGACGATATGATCAGCTCGTCTTGAGGGTGTAGCTGTAGCGATCCCATCTGATGTAGAAGTGGCAAGGTAGCCACATCCCCACTCACAGGCACACTGATGGAGTTTAGCGGAATGAGGTTCATGATCAAGCGATGTACTTCAACACCCGACTGCTTCTCACCCTTCTCTACCCCGAACAACCCGTTCAAGAGAGGTTCCCCTCCGGGTGCCAATAAGGCCGAACCTGGAAGGACCGCACAGAGATTGTACCGCACAAGTCCCCGAGCTAAATCATCCCAATCGTTGTCGCGAACCATCACCCTCGAAGCCCTAACTGCGTCGTCGTTCCAGCCGGGAACCAAGTACTTTTGAGGCTCAATCAGAAGATCTAGCACTCCACCTTCTGCCAGGTCAACTGCCGCAATAGAGGCAATCGAACCTAATGGTAAAGCTGGTTCTATATTGGCCCACGTAGTCCACTTGGCTGTTCGCACCTCCTCGTTGGAATAGCTTACGCTGCGCGTCTGCAGGAACTTGCTCCAGTCAAATTTCTCCAAACTGAAACTTTGCTCCAGAAAACATTTGATGCGCCCCTCAAGGTACCCTAGAATCTCGCTCTGCAACGCGGTTGGACTCTGACTTGACATGTGACAATGAGACCCACCGTTGAGGTAATTCAGGCCAAAGACGACCAAAAACAACCACACGCTGACACCATCTTTCTTGCTCACAGAGTCTCTCCATGTTTCCAAGTTGGGCAGGGGCAGAGGGAAAACTGATGCTCTCTCTTGTCTTCTCTCTGCCATAAACGCTTCTCCTCCATTGCAAAAGCCTTTCACCAAACCACTGAAACCACAATCGCATCCGCCCAACAGTAAATCCACAATGTTCAAAAACCAATCCTCTGAATAGAAAACATCCTTGATACCTTTGGTGCCCAGCTGCCTGCCACGGTCTGCTGGGGCTTCGCCCAGCTTGCCTGGACAACACTGTTCCGAAGCAGATGCTTCAGGCGGGGCCCCGATAACCACGTGCTGGTGTGGTCCGCTTCCTTTCTCGGCTCTCTTCAATGGGGCTTTGTGGGATCGGCTCTTTGGACGCCCCCCTGGTTCCCGGGGTTCGCTTTGCCTCCCCCTTTGTGGTTCTTTCCATCCCCTTTCTTGCCATCCCCTTTTCTCCGAGGATCCTCCTGCCATCTGGTTTTGCCACCACCTTTCCCCAGCTCCCTTTGAACCTTCGATTCGTGCCGAAACTCCCTCGCGGCACCCTGCGCTTCGGCTATGCTGGTGATGAGCTCCTGGTCGAGGGGGACTAGCTCTAAATTTTGGGCCACTGCCCATGCCGAACCCGCCAGAACCAGCTCGATGGCTTTCACGCGCTGCATCATAATGTCCATGGCCCCCAAAATGTCTCTTTGTAGCAACCGGTCTAGAGCGTGGCCCAAAGTCAATAGCTCCCTCTTCTGAGCCGGGGCTGGATTCTTCATCATCACACGTAAGCGGAGATAGCGAAGAAGAATCGGCTGTATCGCGCGCATACTCTCTTCTCCCACTTGCTGTACCAAAAGGCGACCCATCTCGTCTACAGCGTGTCGTGTAAGAATGCCGGGTATTGTCTTTGCCAATCTCTTCACTCTGTGACCTTCTCTGAATGGGTGTCCCGAGTCTGCCGAATCTATGGTTCCCCCGCTGCTGCTCCCGCTGCTCTCGCTTTCGTGGCTGCTGTTGCTCCCGCTGTCGCTGCTCCTTTCTCGCCTCCTCTTCTTGCCTCTTTTCTTCTTGGATTTTTTGCCTTTTTTCTTTCTCCTCCTCAAACACTTCTTTACTGACTCTTTGGCGTCCAGAGGCGTGCCTTTGAAACTGTGATCTCCTGTCTTGTTGTTCTTGCGATCCGACCCTGCTCTTGGCTCGCCCAAGGGGGGTATGGGTGCCTCTGGGGGGAATCTCTCTTTTCCTTCTTCCAGGGCAATGGCTCTGAGGTCTCGGTCTAAATCCCCGACTCCCCCCGGCAACCCTTGCAGCAAACCCTCCAAGTTCTTTCCCCAATGATCCCCCGATGCCTCGAGGCGCACGGTCGTACCGTGCAGTAAACCTCGAGCGAGTGCGGTCTTTGGGCAACCCGCGGGGCAAAGGTGAACGCTCAGTTCGGCGGGGTTCCCGCACTTCAATACGCCCTCGGCCCACACTTTGAGTTCTGGATTGTCGGTTCCTTTGAGAATCAATGTTGCATGCGTGCCCCCCTTGCCCAAGACTATGCATTCCAGACGTCCTAGGACGTGGCATGTTGATCCCCAGTAGTCGCCACTGAAGACGTAGTCACGCCCAAACTCCCAGAAACCAGAAAGTGGTACTGCTGATATGTCCAAGCTCTCTCCACGCTGCAATTTGCCCTTGTAATCGTAGAAACGGCGTACCCTACCTCCTAAAAAAGGAGACTGGGCACGAGATACCTTGGAACGAAGTGGCTGCGCCCTGCTGCCTGGCCTTTTCAGTATCCCTCTTGGGGGCATATACTCCTTCAATAAGGAAAACCCAAAGGAAAACTTCAAAGAATACCGGGCCCCGCCTTCTCGTCACGAAGCGTCCGTCTCTGAGCCAGACCAGTCGAAAACGTCCCGCTCGTAGTCAAAATCGCGAACTCGAGCTTGTTTAACACGAGTATCCTGCCAGGTCCTTCGAGCCTGGCCCCTGTTTTTCTTGTGCCGCTTCTGTTTTCCAGGATTCTCGGGCTCTTCCAAGCTATGGCGCGAAGGCGCAGAGGAACTAACCGCACTACCGCTAGGAGGTTCCCGGGGTTCAGTGGCCTTGCTCGAAACCTTGACAACATCTGACCAACGCTCACCGGCGGGGGCACTAGAGGCTGAAGGACTTTCAAGTGGGAGGGAACCTCCGAAATGCCTCAGGACCCTTAGCTTGCTCTCAAGCGTCGATACCAGAGATATGATGTTATCCTGGGCGGCCTCCGGCAACCTCAAGCACACACCTCGAACACGGTCTAGCGCCCGGCAAACACCACAAGTGTACCCTCCTGAACTAAGGGGCCTGAGGTCGACTGAAAACTTCTCACAAACGCTACACTTACGTACCTCAGACATCCTTAAGCAGAAAAGGGCTACCGCGACAGAGTATCGTTGTCTTAAACTACGAGAACGTTGAGTCATAGGTTCCGGACTTCTTTGAGCGAAAAGATGCAGGGAACCCTCGGCCACTGCGAGCACAAAGTCCGCGCTCAAGGAAGAAAAGTCACATTCCCGATGGGCCTGCATTGAAGACCCCGTCGAGGAAGCAGTGACTAAAAATTGCAAAGATGAAAAGGACGCAGCCAGGAGTCCAAAGCCTTCGAAGTTGCAACCAAACCGTTGTGGGTCCCAGAAAATAGCATCTGCGCCCATCTGCTGTAAAAGAAAAATCACCGAAGCATGGCTCCACACTGAAGAACCAGAGTGCTGAGAAAGCAGTACGTGAGAACCCGCTGCAAAGCATGCGTGTGCTATCTGAATCATGCGATCGAAAAGATTCGAAGGGAAATCTGCTAATTTTCACTCAAACACAAGCGCCTGCGGAGTACACAAGTCAGCACATTGGGCTCAAATGAATTACGGAGCTCGCACAAGTAAAACAAGTACTCAAGTAAATACCGGCCAGGAAAACAAATGGAAAATACGTGTACATACAGTACGAGTACAAGGCGTGCAAAGTTTTGCACCCCGCCTAAAGCATGCCGAAGTCCAACTAAGGCTACTGCTTTCAAACACAACTTTGCGACTTCAAAAGCCACACTGTACGAGAGCTCTAAGCTGCTACACTAGGGCCGGTATGACAAAGAAACAAAAGGGAGTACAACTAGTTTCAGTACAGCTCCGGACTGGGTTTCACTCGCGTGCACAAGCTCTGCCGAAGCGGTCGTTGGCTTGACCTACCGCTACCTACCGTCTTTGACACTAGAGACTACGAACGCATTTGCGCTGTCTGCCTACGGAAGTCGATGAAAGATGCAAGGCATCCCACACCAACTGTTGAATGCTTGACTCGGGCAAGCGGACCCGGCACAAGAGGTAGGAAGAGCAGAAGCTTCACACAAGTGATGCAAAAATAAGCTGACTCGAAGCAAGGCGCTGAGAGAGGCTGACGATTCATGCGGGATCATGCAAGCACAATTTGATAATCAAGAAAGTGTTTGCCCTGTACGCAAAACAGCCGAAGGAAGCCTACAACCAACGACTAAAAGTATTAGAACCTCCTAATTAAGGTCCAGCAGTGGCGGAATGCATCATCGCCATCACACGTGTCAGCAATGCACTCAAAGTGCACACATTCTCGGGTTTGCCAAAATGGCATGCGTCACAAGTATTGATGGTGCAAAATGCACCATATGCACATTCAAGAAAGCCATACAAGTATATGCTCAAGATCATCGGCACCTGAACTTAACAGAAGGGTCCAGGACCCAGCAACATGAGCATCCAAGCTACAATACAGGTGGATATATACAAGATGCCCCATGGTATCAACACGCCGAGTGTTGACACCAAGAAAGCATCGCATCAAGAGCATTTCAAGTGGCCATCAAGAGAGGCTTTGCACATACATCATGCACCGTCACTCAAGGATTGCATTTCTTGCATGCACGGAGTCCGCGGTTCTGTGCTTCGTGGCGCTCGTACGCCTTCACACGATCGCACCCATCAAGCTTAAAGCACCGGAGACGATGATAGCAGCGGCCCGTGTGCGACACCCACACGAGGCTCCCACGGTGGTTCATCCTCCGTGCCACGGCGATAGGGTACCCGTGCAGCTCGCGGAACGACTGCGTCGAAAGCTGCGAACTCATTGACTCTGCTGGTGTTCCAGGTGCTGATGCATGGTCAGCAGGAGGCACATGAGCCTGCACTGCATTCATCGCACCAGTGGGCCGTGCTGCTGACGAACTCGCGCCAGGATGAGGAGCATCCTCATCTTCGTACCTCGGACCTGGTCTGGTAGAAGCTTTGGACCTTGCACCTTTGCGTAGCGCGGACAAAACATGTGGAGGGCTATCATCACCATCAAAGTCGAAAGACAGAGGATTCGTAGGAGTCCCAGGCGCACCAACTCCAACATGCAAATTGAGCTGGCGATCAAACTGAAAGGAGACATGATCACGAGGGCCAGCGATCTGCACATTGACCTGGCCGCGATCAGATACCCTGCAGCACAAAGTGCGGATGCACAACACAAGCATCAGCACTGTCACGCACGCAAGGACCAAAGCATGGGGCTGCACAAGCATGTCGATGACAGACACGCCAGTGTCATCGCGGACCCACAGTCCCAAGAACCACACAAGGACCCGGTTAGCCCAGTCAGGAAGGTCAGCTCCTGAGTCATCCAAGCCGTTGTCACCGTCAGCATCATCCGCAGCACGACTCAAGGCGCTCACAACAGCGATGACAATGGCCTGAATCATAGGCTTGCTCACGGACGCACTCGATGTGGAGCGGACGGCACGCACAGCGTCCTTCATTGCTTGCTTGTAGCGTAGATCAGCAATCTCATCTTCTCCAACAAAGCACTCATGCACAGTATGCCAGCAACCGATGATGTGCAAAAGCATGAGCATGCGGCTCCGAGAAAGGCCTTTGGTGTTCAGGTCGGCCACATTGATCGACGTTGCAACTTTGCGAAGCATGATGATCTTATCCGCAACAAGCTGCTGAGTCCACAAGACTCGGACGCTCAAGTGCCTAACGCGGCCGACGCCGCTTCGCTCCATGATGCCTTTGGCAGCGCTGGCGTCCAGGAAGTGATGAATCTGGGGTGGCTCATCGTCGGCAAAGAAAGCGAGCAGCTGCCGAACAAACAAAGCGTCACAAAGTGTAGACGTCGCCGCAAGCAATTCCGATTCCCCTGAGCTCAAAGCAATCACCCTTTGTGTACGGCTAGAGCTGTACAAAAGGCAACCTGCTACGAACACCATCCCTGAGCTAACCGATTTGCGAGAGCCGCGATGCGCCGCCCAGTTGGCGTCCGAAAAAGCTTCTAAGCACAGGATCGGCTGGCTCGGTCTCGGAATCTCGCCGGAAACTCCGTTGTAACAGTTTCTGCGATCAAGCAAGAGACCATGGTGTTGGCCTTCAAGAAGATACTTCAACAGATGCCTCAAAGCAGCCTGCGCATTGCGTGTTGGCGAAGTCATGTAGCTGCTCAACGCACGGATGGCACCCTGACACTCGATCAAATCCACTGCCAAGTACAAAAGAATGCCAATGGCACAGCGGAAAGCCTTTGCATCTGCACACGCGAGAAGCTCGCTGTTGTCTACTTCATCAAGCTGCGGCGCATAAGGAGTCTTCTTCGGAGCACTCCGTTCATCGATTTTCATCACAGAAAACAACTTTTCAAAATGCTTGGCCGAGGGTGTTAGCAGCATTTTACCGCCAGCAAGAAGTGTGTGATGCCGCTTCAAGAAAGAAATCGTGTCCCCCGGAGCCTCAAGGATGCGGATGCTTACACGATACTTTGATTCAAGCGTGGGCCGGAGGCGTTCAAGAAGAAAGCGCTTGCCGCCTGCACCCAACAAGTCATCGACATGCATCTG